GAGCATCTTAAAGAACTCCTACTGAGGTGTACCCTGAATGTTCAATTCTCTCTCAACAACGAAATATATCGCCAGTAGGATGGTATAGCTATGGGCTCACCACTAGGCCCCTCGCTTGCAGATTTCTTCATGGCAAAACTCGAAAACACATGCCTGAAGAAAATGATCAATATCTTCGAAATCTATAAGAGATACGTCGACGACACCTTCATTATCGTCAACAACGAAGAAAATCTAGATGACATCTTGAAGTCGTTTAACAACTGCCACCCTGCAATTCAGTTCACGATGGAGAAAGAGTCCAACTCCACAATATCCTTTCTTGACGTCCAACTAACAAGAAGAGAACAGGATGGAACACTGAAAAGGTCTATCCACAGAAAATCGACGTGGAACGGACAGCTTACTAACTTTCACAGTTGGGTACCACTATACACCAAACGAAACCTGATCCGTTCACTCAGCTACAGAGTTCGCAGAATTTGCACCCCGGACACCATAGAAGATGAACTGGACAATCTCAAGAGAATCCTCGTCGAGAATTGCTATCCAGAAAGATTTATTGCAAAATCTATGAATCCTAGACCAGAAAAGCCACCCATACTTACCGTCCCGAAAAAACTACTATACATGAAACTTCAATTCAACGGAGATTTATCTGCGGGAACACTAAAAAAATCGACTGTCGCGCTCACTTAAGAAGACCTTGTTCGCAGCTGAACTACGACTAACCTTCTCCAAAAAACCTATGATTCATGTGAACGTGAAGGATAAGGTACCGCTGCTGGCCTCATCAATGTGCATTTATCAATTCACCTGCTCGTGTGGAGGCAGGTATGTCGGCCGTACCCAGCGCTCGCTTTCCAAACGTATCACCGAGCACTTGCCAACATGGTTTTACAAAGGAGAAAATCGATGCCTCCGCAGTTCCATTTTAGAACATCTGATAGAATCCGGACACCAAGCTACAAACAAACTTCAAAGTCGTCTACAGAGTAAGAAGTAGTCTCCCTAAAGGTGTACGAATCAGACTTCTTCAAACTGCAGAAGCAATGGCGATTAACTCGCTAAGGCCTGAACTCTGCATACAGAAGAAGTTCGTTCAATCACTACACTTACAATGGACGTAATCTATCTCATTAGCCGACAAGTAAATTCTACCTAATCTTTTCTTCTGTCTCTTCATTAGTATTATTTTGCCTTCTCAATTGTAATATTTTACATTTTGAACTTTCTTGTTCTCTACCCCCACCCGATTCAATTTCTACACCTCACTACCACTGTTACTGACTTGACCAACGCTCAATTTCTAGTCATTTATGTTACGTCATCCAACTTATTTACTCAATCTTACTTTAGTTGCTGTCTGATTAACTTTGTCTGTATACTACATCATTCTTGTATTAACTAATCAATTATCTAAACTTGACAAACCTCATGTACACACACACAAATAATTATATATAAATGCGACGAAATGCTAAACCACGCCAAACTGGCAGTAAGCCTGGTAAAGAAAAATAGGCAGTTTGCGTGACGTTAGCAACACCATATCGTACAAACCACACACACACACCCACTGGAAAATTAAAGCTCAAGATTGAAGCACTATATTCCCCTAAAAACGCAAAGGGCTGATAAAATCATCTGCTAGGAGTCAATGAATCTCATTTTATTTATCTCAAAATGTCGGCCAAGTTTTCTTACAACTAAGTCATGTAATAGTAGGCACTGTGTAAACTGTGGAGACATGGAACGTGCGCACTATGTATGAGACTGGCAAAGCTGCCACAATTGCAAATGAGATGAAGAGATATGTCACTGAAGTACTGGAAATATGTGAAAGCAGAGGGGGTGGGAGTGGATTCATCAAATTTTTAACGGGACAGTTAGTGACCTACTCCGGTCACTCAGAAGACAACTACAAGCACACCAAGGGTGTGGCTATCACGATGACATCAACGTTAACGAAGGTCCCGATACAATGGAAAGCGATCTCGCTCAGGATGATGACCACCAGATTAAACTCAAAAGGAAGGAGAGTGACAATTATACAGTGCCATCCAACCACAAACATTGCAGACCTAGAAAAGAAAGAAGAGTGCAAAAGGCAACTACAGGCAACAATGGACAATTATCCAGTCAGTAACATTAAAATCCTAATGGGCGATATGAACACCGAACTGGGACCAGACAACACAGGAAAAGAACTCATTATGGGTAGAGAAGCACTTAGATAGACGAATGAAGACGGAGAACTTTTTGATTTGAGTATCAAAACGGAGAACTCTTCGCTAACTTCTGCACCTTCAATGAACTAGTGATTGGCGACGGCGAATACATGCAAAAGGATATCCACAAGATTACGTGGGTGTCACCACACGGGCGAACCAAACTGACTTCATCTCAATGCTGCTCAAGGAAGTGGAGATACAGCTTACTGGACACAAAAGTAAGAAGAGAAGCAGACGTCGGCTCAGACCACTATCTCATGCAAGGAACACTCCAAATCAAATAAAAAGCTTTCAAGGAGAGACTAATAGAAGAGAGAAGGATAGGGAAACAAAAGATTATCCAGTGCATCGCCGAGCAACAAAAACAGGAGTTGAATGCAGGCTACAATACACTGAACAAAGAAGTAGATAAAAGTGCCAGAGAAGACAAAAGACAATATTGTGAAGCTATGGCAAGTCAAGCAGAACAAGCTGTAGGCCAAGAAGACCTCACAGCACTCTACCAAACAACTAAGTTCCCATCTGGGAAGAGATCAACACAAATTAAGCCAGTGAAGGGGACAATGGAAAGACAATCACCAAAGAGGTGGAGCAAAGAAAACACTGGGCTGAACACTTCAAAAGACTTCTTAATCGACCTCCACCTGCAACTCGCCCAATAATATCAACAGCGGAACCAGAACTACCAGTGGATACCAACCCTCCGACGAAATCAGAAGTCCTGAAGGCAATCAAGATGCTAAAAGCTGGAAAAGCAGCAGGACCAGGCGGAATCCCCACAGAAGCATTGAAAGTTGACTCCGAGACATCAGTGGACTTGATGACACCACTACTGGAGAAGGTGTGGAAGAAGGGAAAGATACCTGTGGACTGGAAGAAAGACTACCTATTCAAACTGCCAAAGAAAGGAGACTTGAGTCAATGTAAGAATTGACGTAGCATTATGCTCCTGTCTGTCCCAAGCAAAATACTAAGCCGCATCATCCTGGGGAGAATCAAACACACCCTGGATGAAAAACTTCGACCGGAACAGGCTGGATTCAGGAGAAACAAGTCATGCATAGATCAAACCACAACACTACGTATCATCATTGAAAAGAGCTTGGAATGGCAGTCAGCTCTCTACTTCAACTTCATTGACTTTGAAAAGGCCTTCGACAGCGTCGATCGGGAGGTGATTTTCAAACTACTTCGCTACTATGGGGTGCCACCGACAATTATACATCTCATCCAACAGCTGTACTACAATGCTGCATGCCAAATAATCCACAACGGGAAACTCATAGAATCCTTCGAAGTGAGGACAAGAGTAAGACAAGGCTGCCTACTATCGCCAATGATTTTCCTGATTGCAGTAGACTTGATAATGCGACAAACAGCGGGCAATGAGGAAACAGGCATAAAATGGACTCACACAAAAAACTTGGAAGATCTGGACTTCGCCGATGATATATGTCTGATTTCCCACAAACTGGAAGATATGCAAGCGAAAAGCAACAATTTAGCAGAAGAAGCATCCAGAGAAGATAGGACTTCAGGTGAACATAGAGAAAACAGAGGTGATGAAGATTCCTGGACAACACCAACAACAATCAGTATAAATGAGAGGAATCTGAAAGAAACATCCTCCTTTACCTACCGACCTAAGAAGCATAGTTTCAACTACAGGCGGACAGAACTGATGAGGATATCAAAGCGCGGGTATCGGGAAAGCAGGGCAAGCTTTCATTACTCTCAAGTCTGTGTGGAGATCAGCAGCACTACTCAGCATGCAAAATAAGATCCGGATTTTCAACTCCAATGTGAAGTCAGTGCTACTAAACGGATGAGAGACTTGGCGCGTCACGAAGGGCAGTTCAAACAAACTACAGATTTTTACCAACAGCTGTCTTTGCTCAATACACATGATCGGATGGCCAGAAAAGATCAGCAACAGGCATCTCTGGGAGTGAAACAACCAGGAACCAAGTGTGCAACAAATATGCAAGAAGAAATGGAAGTGGATTGGACTGGCCCTACCATCAAGTGACATCACACGCCAGGCCATCACTCGAGTGGAACCCGAATGGGAAGCGGCGAGTTAGTTGGTAGTCAGTGCGAGGGTTACATGGAGGAGGAGATGAAAGCATGTGGGCAGACGTGGAGCCAGGTGGAAACGTTGGGAGAGAACTGAACGCAATGGGGACGTGCGGCTGAAGCCCTATGTTCCTCTAGGAACTAACGAAACAATGATAATAATGATAGCGTACTGTAACTCAAGGGATAGGTGGTGATTAAAGGTGAAGTAAAAATACTGGTAACGGCAGGATTCAAGCCAAGTAGCCCCTGAATTAATAGTCCGATGGACTAACAATTAAGCTACGAGATCCAATCGCTAATTAGGTCATCCCTTCACTGGAAACATCACGAAAATGAGTGGTAAGTTACTATTCGTTCATAACCACACTAGCTGCCCGTTTAGGTCTTTTCTTGTCAAGTCCAACTCAAGGTGAATTAGGAGAGAATTAGTTTGTTAACTGATGGCGAGACTATCTAACATAGCTGTGGCAACCTGGTTAGCCATCGGGTCTCATAAGAGAGCTGTTACGACAAGTACTGGACTAGTAGTAATCTGGAGGCCACCTATTTGGTGTCTACAACGCAGATTTTCATTTTTTAAATAATATTTTATGTGTTCTTACAGAACTGTCACAACATGATTTACGGAGTTATTGTTTATTAGTTATCTTTTTCTCCTGCACACTAATGAACAGAAAAAAGATAGTGCCAGAGAGAAAACGAAAATTTCTTTAAATAATTTTGATGACCTTTTGTTCAAACTTTAGAATGCAATAACAAACAAAAGATAAATTAACCGAAAACAAACGAAAGAAATGACTTTAAAAACTCTTTGAATAAAATGCATAAATATGAAAGACAAATAAATCCAATTAGTAAGAGAAACGGGTATATAATATACACAATGATGAAAATAATAATAATGTCACATATTCATAAATAATTGAAACAAAGTTTAAAAGGAAAATGAAAATGATCGAAAGATGTCAATGATGATAATATTTTCTTCTGTTTATCTTCAATAAATGAGAAATTCGTATCACTGTCAACATCATCCGTCTAGATCAGGACAAACACTTAGAATTCTACACAGGATATCTTTGATAAGTCTAACACCAGGAAAGAACAAAGACGATCGTTTAATATCCATAAGAGCAATTTTCAATCTCCGTAACTCTATAATTGACGATGGTAATGATAAAGGAGATAAAGATTTAAAAGAAGTGTGGAGAAATAAGTGTGCAACATAAATATGCAATCAAGTCAATCAAATAAATCAAAAGGAATCGTGTGATTCAGTGATTTATTGGAAAGCAAACAGTCTGAAGTTATATCATGAACTTTAGATCAGTTAGTGATTCACTGAAAATCAGGGCGTACTGGACAACTATTTCGTTTCAGTCTAAGTCTGTACAGCAGCGCCAACGCCCGCCAATGTCCCTATATGTCACTAATTGGCAGAAGTTAGAACTCCTATTGACTGGACGGTCAAAGGGCTCGCTCCTCGGCGGAGTGATAAATGCATAATGCTAGAGTCTCAACCCGGGGCGAAACAGCTGTCTCATACTCCCTAGTTTTCAATGATTCTCTAACTGATGTCAGTTTGTGATCTAGCTTAAAATCAATCAAATCTCTAAAAATCAACACTTGAGAATCATGAAGACTCCCCTTATTAATCAGTAGGGATTTTGTAACAGTAGCAAAATAGTGAATACAAAATATTGTGGAAAGATTCTTCTGTGGTCAAGAGAAAAATTGCTTACTGACTGCACAGAATGTTAATAAGGGTTTATTATCCTCGGTCATGTCTAAATCGCAAAACATCCGTTTGAAAGTTTTTGATGAGTAAATAAGTAAACTAACCACCACATTAATTTCTTATTAGATATATCAGATGGTGAAACATCTTTATTTACTGGATAACACACTAAACACAATTTATTCATATTCATATCAATTGACATGATATATTCAGTAATACACAAATTAATGTGGAATTGCATAATACCATAGTATCTAGGTTTTACATACACATATGAAACTTTCTTTTTCAAAGGAGGTCACGTGACGATATTTTAAAATCACTCAGCGAGATTTTCTCAAGTGAGCTGTTCATGCACACGCGCTTTTATTCGCATTTTGCAAGCGAATTCACGATTTGCAATCTAAACAGTTCGAAGTGAAATCTCATCACAGTCTTCTATGGGAACTCAAATTATTTAGATAACAATGTGTCTTCTATTTGACTCTGAAAATGGCAGATTAGAAAACAAGCACTATCGCATGGAATTGTATACTACTGGTTGATTAATATGAGCAGTTGGATGCCACTGAAATCGAACATCGAAGTGATCTAAACACCAGCTTTTATTTCATGGGAAGCTACAGAAGGAACTTTTTAAAGATTGACATTTATTCAACTTTTTTTTTCTCAAAGAATACCATGATTACTTGAGTGAAATGCATTCCTACCATGGTTGGATACTTATCAACTAAAAAGTAATACATAGTGACCAAGTGGCAGTGTGTTGCGTCATGAGTCCAGAAAGTCTTCGTGAGAGTTGCATTAAGGCTATGCAGCAGAGTACTAACAAAGGGTATGCAGTGGTGATTCCGCCGTCACGATCTCAACTATCGTCTTCAATTGCATCTACCCCATCATCCCAAAAAGTATGGTAAAGTGAGGGTAGTTTTAGGGTTATCGTACAGTCACAAAATGCATCAAGAGTAGCAAACATTCAGAGGCCACATGGTCTTCTCCACACAATGCAAAATGCCATTTATCTATCCCAGTACGTATATCGATCATAAAGCAAGGCAGTTGCCGTGCAGAACAGGTTATCTTCCTAATAGATAATCCAATGGTAAAATAAGGAACAACACATTTAAGGGAACAATATTGTTCTCAATTATATCTCGTCAGGCTTAACTATAAATTTAATTATGGGAATATTTAATATTTTGAAATCTCGTGGGGATCCTATTGTATTTAAAGCACTCAATGAGTTCCTGAAGTTTAGTTCAAGGCTCACTGAAGTGAAAACATCGTTGGAATTTTTCAAGGAATGTATAGAAAACGGACTTTATCCCAAACTATGTTGGAGGTCGTTAAAAAGAATGACGATTTAAGAGTTTAGAAAGATATACCCTTAATCAGATTCACCGTGTGAGTCTTATAAATGATCTATAAAGGAACATATCATAAAGACAATTTTCAGTTGATGATTTTCCTCAGGGATTACAACTGATGTATTTGGAATATGTTAAAAACTTAACGGTAAACAGAAGGAATAAAAATGAACTAGTCTAGTCAAATCTCTTGAAAGCCGAAATCTTGAAAAGAAATTTCGGTCAGTTCCGGACCGGTAAGTTCACAATTTTCCTAGTGTTGTGCTTAGTATGATTCAACTGGAGGCGTTATCTCTAGATCCTAAATCTAGTGACTATGATCGTAAAGTAAGTCAATTAGACACAGATATTCAGTTTTAAAATTTGCATTCGCAAACGTCTCACCCAATTCCAGCATCGGATGATGAACTACCTAGGTTCAAAACTACGCTAGTTAACAGCTGCAGACATTCAGTAAATAGTCTGTTATCAAAGCAACACAGAGAAGCTCTAAGAGAACTTAAAAGTAATGAAAGCTTGATTATAGGCAAACTGGATAAGGAGGATGGTAGTATTATTCGACGAAAGTGATTGCATTGAAAAAATGGAAGGTATTTTGAATAATCAAACTAAATTCCAATCCCATGGTAATTCCGAAGACCTCAATATAAAAGTGAAGAAACTAGTGACAGATGCTCTCAAAAAACTGAATTAAAAAGGAGTAATATAGTCAGCCATGTATGAGTCTATGAAACCAACAGGGACCAACACACCATGTCTTTACGGTCTACCCAAATTGCCCAAACCGGGTCTTCCTCTTTGCACAGTTTTAGGTATGTGTAACTCGTCATTGCACAAAACAACAAAGTGGATAGTATGGATTCTGGGACATTTGCACAAAGAAGCTCTGCGATATAGAATTAATGATGTCTTTGACTTCATCTCTAAAACATGAGACTAATGTTAGTGATAAACGTATGTTATCTATGGATGTATCATCACTATTCACGAATGTACTATTAGTCAAAGAGGTATATTACATTTGCCAAGAAATCACCGAAATACAAGTGTACTTGGGAATTCCCTTATGTAGCCTCAAAGAAATACTCCTTAAATGCACAATAAATGTGCATTTTTTCTTCAATAATTCATATTACTGACAAGTAGGTGGAATCGCTACGGGTTCAGCATTAGGCCCAATATTAGCTGATTTCTTCCTCGCAAAATTTGAAAACGGCAGATTGAAAGACACCATCAATGAGTTGGATATGTATTAGAGTTATGTCGATTATACATTATCTTAATTAGCGAGAATGTAAACATAGACGAATTCTTGATGAAATTCAACAACATCCACCCTTCGCTAACTTTTACTTGTGAAGAGGAGAAGGATAATAAACCACATTTTCTGGACGTCTTGCTAAGTAGGCGAGAAGATAGGTCACTTGGGAGAATCATGTATAGAAAAATCACATTTGCAGGGCATTACACACACTTCCTTAGTTATGTGCCTATTAAATATACAAGAAATGTTGTTAAATGTCTTACGAGCAGAACAAGAAAGATATGCACGGATGACCACTTACAAAAGGAATTTGAATATTTTCATCATTCCTTGACGGAGAAGGGCTGTCCGAGTAGTTACTTAAACAAATACATGAAAACGTTGGAGAGAAGACCTGAGACTATGATTGCATGTAAAACACCTCTGTTTATTTAGTTACAATTTAATGTTGACTTGCCAAGTGAGATTTGATTCCAGAAACTTTCCAGGAGTATACGAAGAACGTTTTACGCAGCAAACCTATGTTTGTCATTCTCTAGCCGACAAATTATTGGGACGCAAACGAAGAATAAGCTAGATAGTTTTGCCACATCAGCTGCACAGTTGTGTTGGACGTACTACTAGACAGCCTAGCCAACGTGTCACTGAATACCTTCCATTGTGGTTTGGCGAAGGAGAGACAAAAACAAACCGTAGCTCCATTTTGTCACGTTTAGCTGATAGTGGTCACGTAGTGGAGAAAACGAAAGCATGCAAGATGATTCATAGCATCCTACCGAATCTTTCCAACAGACTTCGTATTCGTCTACTGCACATGGCTGAGGTGAAAGGCATTCGAACTATTCAGCCTCAACTATGCATTCAAAAGAACCTCTTACAATCATTATTCGTTCCTTGGCCTATTAAAATCCAACCAACTGATGACATCATCATCACCCCTTACTTATATTTCTCAACCCCTCTTTTATCATCCCTTAACCCTATCCCATCTTCGTTGAAACATATTTTATTTACTTCGCTTACAATCTAGCATTACTGAGTCGGTTTGTTTGTTTTCTTAGCCTTTATCGACTACTTCTACCTGAACATTTCATTTCAATCATGCTGTTTTTCATTATTCTTGTTATCACAGATCACTCCACGTTTTCGCCTTTCTTATTGATAGAATCACTATTATTATCATGACTAACTGCACAATTTATATTCGCAATCTTATTTTCCTATTGATAAAACACCGTGATTGGTTCATATTATAATATTTTTTGTAAAGTTATATTAGAGTTAAGTCTGATGACATTAAATTGAAAACAATATTGTTCGCTTGAAAGTGTTGCTGCATATATTACTATTGACTCATTGAGACTACTTGCTCAGTAATTTTGTCGCTTGGGCAGACATATACTATGTCAACTCAGGAAACGTCGGCTCTTGACTGTTCTCTGTGATGTCTCCCACTGTTTCTGGCTATTTCATCTGAAACACAAGGCACAGTTTTGTACTACTCATGGAGTTTAAGTCTGCAGAATAGTTCATCTGATCTAGGGCTATGGAGGCATGTTTGTTTAACGCCATCAGTAACTCATATGCACAGTCTTGACTAGCTGTTTTCTTGTGGCCTTGCAGTCAGTAAGTTTACGGAGAGTCAGCTTTCTTCTCGCCATAGCGAATCATTCAGGGATGATGGTTTCCAACTAGTCATCGCCTATTACATTCATAATAACTTTATTAATGAGTTTAGTTAGTTTTTAAGTGCTTTCTACAATGTATACTTAGATTCTTATTTAAGAAGGTATAGCGAAAAAGAATAAATATAAACAATTTTAAAGAAATTACCAGTGGTCAACGAATTCATTTTTCTTTTCATAACTTTATAGTCCGACTTCAGTTTACTGTAGGCTGATTTTCGATCACGTAACTCAGTTGTTACAATAGATAGATCTGCAAAGAATAGCCAACATTGAACATTTTTATTTATTTGCATGAAATTAGTATCTAGAATTAAATGAAGCAACGAACTATCAGTGAAACTCATCGCGCGCTCTTAACAATGCTCTCAAGCAATAATGATGTCCCAGTTGATATATCTCTTTCCAACCTTACTTTTATTTTTATACTTAGTTTCCTGTATTTTACCTTTCCTAACCTTGACTTCTTAACCTTCGACAGCCTTTCGCCTTTGTTTGGATTCCTAGCCTATCTGTGTCGTTTCGAGATATTAGTGAGTAGTCCTCAAAATGGCTGTCCCCAATGTGACTTCTAACACAGATATCCTGAAACCGCGTGCTGCGTTCAAGCTGGCTACCTACAATGTTCGGACGCTGATGCAAATCGGACAACAGGCAGGGTTGGCAAGAACTTTGGAAAGCCTCGCTATCGATGTCTGCTGCATTTCGGAGACCCGCATTCAAGATCCCAGTGAAGTGCTTCGACTGTCCTCTCCATCTGGAAGTTCTAGTAGTATGTACCACCTGCGCTTATCCGGGGACCCTGTGGCATCAGCATCCGGCGTAGCTGGTGTCGGTGTCGCACTGAGCGCTAGAGCCGAAGCTGCACTGCTCGACTGGATTCCCATTAACAGTCGTTTATGTGCTGTGAGGCTGGAAGGTTATACGAAAGTAAGGAGTAGTAGGCCAGATAGGCGGTGTCTATTTGTTGTCTCTGCCTATGCACCGACGGATTGCAGCCCGGATGCAATGAAGGATGAGTTTTACTACCAACTGAGCGATCTGTTGAAACAGGCGGGTCGGAGGGATATCGTAGTGCTAGCTGGGGACTTGAACGCACAGGTCGGGCGTCTAAGCTCAGAGGAGAGTCGTCTAGGTGGTCAGTGGGGACTACATGGTCGCAGGTCAGATAATGGGGACCGTCTTCTGCAGCTTTGCGCGGATCACAACCTATTTCTAGCCAGCACCAACTTCCGGCACAGCCATCGCCGTAGCGCTACCTGGCGTCCTCCCTCTGCGAAGCAAGCTTGGACTCAGATTGATCATATTGCGGTCAGTTTCCGGTGGCGAGGATGCATACAAGACTGTCGCTCCTTCTGGAGCACATGCCTGGACTCCGATCATGCGTTAGTGTGTGCCAAGTTCGTCTTGCGATTTGGTGGGGTTCGTAAAAACCGTCGTCTAAGCGTTGATGTGAGCAAACTAGTAGCACCTGCTACTTCTTTGAAATATCAGAACGAGTTGAAAACAATGCTTGCCAGCAACCCCCCAAGTAGTATAGATGAACACTGGCTTCATGTGCAAGGTGCCATGCAAAAGGCGAGTGTAGCCGCTTGCGGCTTGAAAGAATGCTCCGCTAACAACCACTGGGTTTCTGCGAGTTCCTTGCAACTCATGGATGAACGCCGGTCCATTCCGGCTGGCAGTGAATACAACAATCAGCGAAAGGCGCTCACGCGCAAGAATAGACAGTGTTTACGTAAGGACCGCGAAGCCTGGTGGTCAGAACGTGCGTATGAGATGGAGTCAGCTGCTGCATCTGGCAACAGTCGGAAGCTGTTCCAACTCATACGAGCCACCGGCAGCAAGAAACAAGGTGTCAGCGAGACGGTCTGTGAGGCAGATGGCACTCCAATTACCAGCCTGAAGAGACGCCTGGAACGCTGGGCAGAGCACTTCGAGAAGCAGTTCAGCTGGCCACCAGCTTCATTGTCTACTATCATTAGCCCGAGTGCTCCTTGGTCGGTTAGTACCGACCCACCCACCGAAGCGGAGGTCCGTAAGGAACTCCAAGTTCTGAAACGCCATAAGGCGCCCGGCCCAGACAAATTACCCCCGGCTCTTTTTAAAGATGGTGGCGAGACTCTCATAATGGCTCTAACTGGGTTGTTCAGGAGGGTGTGGGAGACAGAGAGCGTACCATCAATGTGGAACGAAGCCATTATCGTCCCCATCTTTAAAAAGGGTCGACGTAATTCCTGTGACAACCATAGGGGTATCAGTCTGTTACCAGTTGCGTCTAAAATATTGGCTGCTGTCATGCTTCGCAGACTGTGCAAAATACGCGAAGGATTGATTCGCGAAGAGCAGGCTGGGTTTCGTTCAGGTCGTGGATGCATTGATCATGTGTTCACCCTTCGTCAGTTGTTGGAACACCGCCACACGTATTGCAGGCCAACGATCGTTGTGTTTCTTGATATTAGGGCTGCCTTCGATTCGTTGGACAGAACTGTGCTCTGGAACTGTCTGTTAGAGAGAGGTGTACCTGAGAAATTTGTTAACATCTTGAAAGCCCTATACAGAAACACCTCAGGTAGAGTGAGGGCATACAACCAACTATCACCACTGTTCCCAACCAACAGTGGGGTTAGACAGGGTTGCCCAATCTCACCATTTCTCTTTAACTTTGCCATCGATGACATTCTGGAGTCAGCTCTGAAGGATGTGCGTGAAGGTGGTGTAGATCTGCTACCTGGGGATAGACTTTTCGACCTCGAGTATGCAGACGATATCGTCTTACTGTGCGATAGCATGCAGGCTGCCCAAATCGCACTCAATCAGTTGGCGATCAGTGTCTGTAAGTATGGTATGTGCTTTGCGCCGTCTAAGTGCAAAGTACTGTTACAAGATTGGCAGGAGCCTGTACCTGCACTCACTCTTGCGGGTAAACCGCTTGAAGTTGTCGATAAGTTTGTGTACCTAGGTAGTTGTGTGAGTGCTGGCGGAGGGGTGACGGATGAGATTTCCAACCGTATAATGAAAGCTAGGGTGGCATACATCAACTTGAGCCACCTCTGGCGCCGTCGCGACGTTAGCCTGGCTGTCAAAGGTCGGGTATACAATGCTTCGGTGCGGGCTGCGCTGCTCTACGCCTGTGAAACCTGGCCTCTCCGAGCTGAGGATGTGCGGCGACTCTGCGTGTTCGATCACCGCTGTCTCCGCAGGATTGCTTGCGTTCGATGGCATCATCGCGTGAGTAATTCTGAGGTTCGGCGGCGTGTGTTTGAACACAGTGGAGATCACCATTCATTGAATGTCGTCATCTGGAAACACCGGCTCCGGTGGCTTGGACATGTGCTGCGAATGTCACCCCAGAGGCTTCCGTACAGGTCTCTGTTCGCTAGCCCTGGGACGGGTTGGAAAAGGCGGAGAGGTGGTCAGCCCATGACGTGGCGTCGTGGGATGAAGGATATTTGTGCTAGATTAGCATCGGTTGGTGTGTCACGACTCCCTGGTTGGGGTCTGAGAGATAGCTCAAATCGATGGCTCGAAACGTTATCGGATATGGCCAAGAATCGTAATCAATGGCGAATGTGTTGCGATTTCCTTCTTTCTTCCATTCCCGATGATAGTTAACGAACACTGTTTGAACCTGTTAAGAATGAGTGTTTTCCTTCCAGATGAAGTTCATTATTCGTTCTCTACTTATATATATTTTTTCTTTTCCTGTCTTCCTTTTTTTTCATCTATGTTGTTTTATTATTATTGTGTGGCGCATCCTTCTTGGTGCCATATTGTACCAAGTTTTAATGCGTTTAAATAAATAATAATAAATAGTATCTAGAAAATAGAAACACTGAATAGTGTACTACAGTATATGAAAGGTGTGGAAATGTATTAGAGGAGGAAACATATTATGAATCAGTGTTTACCACGTGATCTGTAAACAAGACATTTGACCATAACGGAGATGAAAGGTTAGGTCATTTTTATTAGTATATGCTATCCACCTGAAGTAGTTTTTAAATCTTAAACTATTTGTCATGTAAAATAACCATATAATTAGCTGTAATTTCATATAGTCTTCCCATGGAGCAATTAATCTCACCCTTTTATTTCTTCCTTAGTGTAGGAAAAGTATTCTTTATATTTTTACATAGAATTATAATTCAGTTAACAATATGGGTTTGGTTTTTTCATGATTAGTATGTAACAATGACATCTACACTAAAAATAATTAAATTTTGGGGCAGTCAATATAGATTATCAGTTAATGCAGAGTATTCATTTAAATTCACATATGATACCGACACCAAAACTTGCTATGTTAATAACCTAAAAACTAGTGAGTCAACCATGTAATGTAGCTACTGTCATTATTTGCAAAAAAAATTCTTATTTAACATGATGAAAATAACAGGCCTTCTTAATATGCTGCATCAAACAATATGAACTTTTACTGAGATAAGGTTAAAAAGAGCAACTCTTTAATACATTTTTTCAAAAAAAAAGGCATAGAAAACATTACCTAGCTGCAACTGACGTGTCACATTTTTCAACCGCTTATGTTTATTTTCCAGATATTGATAGGCCGCGTTTTTCCGTGCAATTTCAGTTGATAAAAGAGAGACGTCTGAGAATTGGAGCAAAGATAAAATTAATAATAATAAAAATGACTTCATTGTAGATTTCGTCACGAACCAACATAACAGGTACATCGAAAATAAGGGGACACTGGACAGCTATTTCTTCCCAGTTTAGGGACTCTTTGACAATAAGAACCTAAGACTTCATTGGGGATCAGAATTAATCCGGATCCCTATAAAACCCATAATACAAATATTGATCGAAAGCTCATTAGCGGCTACTGGCTATATGTCCCACAGTTGTAATGAGAATTCATGGCCATTGAGGTTCACGATATTGATGGCGCGGTCCCTGAGTTCCGGACTATATGGCTGAATGGTCAAGAAGCTGACCTCGCAACCCCAAGGTCCCGGGTTCGATCCAAGGTGGAATCATGGGTACACCCTAATTATGGGTCCCAAACAGGGGAAAAAAAACTGTCAAGTACTCCCTGGTTTTCAGTGATATTTTACGTAGTGTTGGTTTGTGATGAAGGTGAAATTAGTCCACATCTGCACTCAACGACAATCTAAACGATAATAATGATAATAGTAATAATAAGTTAGGTGGAAAGATATTTATGGTAGAAGGCAGTTAACATGCCCTTTATAGTCTTTGGAAATGCATCATTTAAAAACTAAAAATCATTATTCCAATCTATACAACTTGTAATCTTTTATATTTAATCTATATCTTCCAACTACTTACAGTTGTATTTGAAAAAGCTGCAGCACTCCACTGTATCTCCATTGACAGTCGTTAATGTACGATGAGGCTAGAAGATTATATCAGAATAGTAATCAATCAGTGGAAAAATCAATGCGTTTTTGTCACCTCCACCTATAACCTCAACCAACGGTGCTCGACAGAGGTCATAGTGCTGAGTGGGGACTTGCATGCACAGGTGAGGCTCACAGGAGTGGTTTAAGTGGCCAGTGGGGACTAGGTAGTCGAAGGTCACATAATGAGGACCGTTTTTTGCAGCTTCGTAATCTGTTTCAGAGTAGCATCAACTTCCAGCGCAAATGTTACCGTACTGCTACGTGGCTTCTTCTCACTGTCACTCAAGTTTGGAATAAAAAAGATTACGTTGCTATCAGCTACTGGTGTTAGCATGATTAAGGTCTGTGAGGCAGACAGTCAACCCATTAGCAAACTAAAATGACTCCAGCAATGTTGGACGGAACACTTTGAAAAAGTTTAGCTGGCTCGTAACACCAGTTAAGAACGTCACTCCAGTGACACTCACATCGTTCGCTGTCGGACAACCATAGAATTAGGTAAAAAATTGTAATGAAGGGAAGTGGCATTCGGTTAGCATATGTTAGTGCATCACAAGTATTTGGTTGATATCAAACAGATCATTCAACTCAGAAACTCAGGGCAAACAACTGAAAGTTATGGTGAACATGCGACGACTTAGAAACTATCGTCGCCTCCCGAAGGCTATACGAAGTAATGGACGATCCAACCAAATACAGTTGATAATTATGCTTAACTGTTTTCATACTAACCCAACTGATACCTGCTACCTTGACGTGGTGGTCCGGCTTGCATGTCCCAATGACTCAACAAGCTACACTGGCTAAAACTATTGTTCCTCCAGGTCCTACCATGTCAGGAAAATTGTTAGGATAGCAATTAGACTAAAAGCAGTTACCTGCATAGTGTAAGACTTTTTACACCATGCTGGGCGTCTGTGGGCGAAGTCGTAGTGCTGAGGAATAGGAATGTAACAGCAGTAAGGTGTTTCCCTCAGATGACCACCATGTCAGCTAGCTATGCTGTCTCTCTACTCTGGAGAGGGGTTAGAAAAGGTCGACCCCAAAATTGTACATCCCGGACTTACCCTACTGTGGTCCGTAACCGACGGTAAATTTACTAATACGGAACCTAACCTAAAACCTAGTTCATACAGGCCGTGTGTGACCGGCCTCAAGCAGTTGTCTCCTGGGCTCTGTAGTCACGCAACACTAACCCTCTTTTTATTTCAGGTACCCCAAGTATAAATCAACTTCCACGGTGTGAGCAGCCGGGAAGTAACAACCACCCACACACTCCCAAAGCACACAAAACCCTCCTGATCATCCTCCTCCTTTATCCACTTCACCCTCACCATTTTTCCCCCTTACTACAGTCAGTACTATCCTTCAGACTAGTGAGTCATCTTCACTTCACTTCACTCTGTGACCACAAACAACGATGAGAGCCATAGAAACACTCCCGACAGTCTCCTAGAGCCACGTCGCCAACTTCATCTAGGAGCTTTCAACGTCAGGACCCTCTGTCAAATGAGACAGCAGGCGTCACTAGCCAGAACTCTGTCATTTCGAGCCATGGATGTATGTTGTGTCTCCGAGACACACATACAATACCCGAGTGTGATCATTCACTTAAGCTCACCCGGCCAACAAAGTGAATCTGCAAATTCACCCTAAGGCTGTCAGGAAACCCCTCAGCTGGTGTAGGGATAGAATTGAGTGTTAGGGCAGAAAAATCACTTCTCGACTGGATCCCAGTGGATAGTCATATGTGTGCAGTCCGTCTGAACAGGTCCGTTAGGAGAAAGAAGGACGGCGTTACCCATAGTTGTCTTTACACAGTCTCCGCTTACGCCCCAACCCACTGCATTTCAGATGAACTAAAGGATGATTTCTACCAGAAACTGTCTAGTTTGCTGCAAAAAGCAAAACGCTCAGATATTGTTGTTTTAGCAGACCACTTTAATGCCCAAGTAGGGAAGTTATACCACATTGAGAGGTATGTAGGTGGTACGTATGGAGTTCAACGCCAACCAACCGACAATGGGGATCGTCTTAAACAGTTCTGTACAGATAATCCATCTTTCCCTGGTCAGTACTAACTTCAGCCACAAAGAGAGACATTGCCTAACCTGACGATCTCCATCACCAAATCAACCTTGGACTCAAATAGGGTATCGTTGGCGAGGGTCAGTAGACGACTGTCGCTCCTTTTGGAACACGTGTGTAGACTCCGATCACGCTCTGGTCCGCGCACGTTTATGCTTACAACTAAACAGACATAAGAAATTATTGGTAGCGAAACAGTTACGTCCCCAACTAGATCAAGACACTCAATCCGTATGTCAGGAAGAAATAGCGAAACGAGTGTCTGAGGTCGACAGCAGGACCTCACCCGAGGTAGCCTGGCACAACATACAGTTAGCTGTAAACACAGCTGTAAAGGCTGTTAATAACCTGACACCAAAAGTTAGTATGAGCCACTGGAATCCTACCACCGCATCCGAACTGATTAAAGCAGGAAGACTGATTCCGGCAAACTCCGAATGTGATGAGGAGCGAAAGCTGCCCAAACGCAAATTGAGAAGAAGTCTTCATAACGACTGTGAACAGTGGCAGGTGAAAAAAGCGAAGGAAAAGGCATAGGCTTGTTACCAGGGAATAATCTCGTTGACTTAGAATATCCAGATGATATAGTCCTTCTAGGTGAAGACACTGACAAAATAGAGCAGTCTTCTCAACACCTTGAACTGCAATCTGAGAATGTTCGGTATGCGACTCGCTCATGTCAGCCAAATGTAAGATGATTAGGCTACAGGACAGGACGAAATTGACTCCTAGCTTAGAGATAGGGAGTGAAGTCGTAGAGCGTGTTAACCACTTCACTCATTTGGGAGTTGCATCAGCCAGTGCCAACAAGTTGATCGGTGACGAAATCTCACCACGGATACAGAAGGCTCGTTTCGCATATGTCAGTTTACGTCATCTCTGGCGTAGACGTGATATCCGGCTACCAACCAAAAGGCATGTGTACTGCTCAGCAGTCCACTCAGTCCTCCTTTAAGGCTGTGAGACCTGACCATTGAGAGTGGAAGACATGAAAAGACTAACTGTCTTTGATCATAGGTGCCTGCGTTCTATCTCTCGTGTCAAGTGGTATAATAGGGTGAACAATATTGAGATCAGGCGTTGAGCACTAGGTAAGGAGGGGAAATCAATCGACGTGGTTGTAAAGTTGCATCGATTCAGATGGTTAGGACATGTGATACGTATGCCTAGTCATCGCGTTCCTCGACAATGGGCAATGTTAGCTGACACAGGATGTATCAGTTTGGTAAAGAGCTAGTAGTGGTCAAAGCAAAACATGGCATCAGTCAATGAAATCCACAACAGTTAGTTTAAGCCAGCCACGTAGGGAGATGTGGACTTCCTGGTTGGGGTCTTCAGGATGGTGAAAGCCAATTGCTGGAGACAATTTGTGATATGGCTCAAAATCCTTCTCAATGGCGCAGATGTATCCACTCCTTGTGACTTATAATACCCAATAAAATTCCATCGTTCTTCCATATTACTATTCTTTTTGTCACATATTTCTGTTAACTGTCTCTATCATAGATAAGATTTTATTTTGATAAATCAGTGTTATGCAGTAATATTAACTGATGAAGTTTCGAGCACAAACTATTGCTGATATTCATATCAAGTCATCAGTTAATATTACAGAGTAAAATGTGGAAAATGAAATGATAAACAAAACAAATCAAATTCGTAGAAATTACTTGTTAATAGTTGAGTGCGCTCAGTCTCATATTCCTCAATTCGTTTTGCTTCAATAACCAGCTCTAAAACAAAATTGGGAAGATTCTCAGTCATAAGAGTCCCAATTATACTTATGTAGAATATAAGTAAAGTAGATTAAGCAAATAATCAATAGTTCATTAACAATCCCAGTCCATCATTTGGAGCTCTAAGTCGCTAGCTGGTGAAGGCTACTTTTCGTGTGACAGGTATCAGCTACTTCTGTTTATCACTTCCCATAGCTTATTTTCTTTCAGTGCATAGGTAGTTTCTTTACATTTTAGCGCAACTTCTAGTATGCTTTCATATTTTTCTTAAGAAATTAAAAAATTTAATAAACTGATGATCGCAAAAACACAAATCAAATACCAGTAACAAAAACCAGTTGGATTGTAAAAATGTCAAACAGAAAGCTAACAGAAGCAGAGAAAAGCATACTAATGAAAGGAATGAATGAAATTCAGTATTAGTAGCAAAAGGTTAAAACCTGAAGATGTTATACCGGTGACTAAAAATATCTCAAAACTGGTACTAGCAAAATAAGCATTATCATCGGAAAAACAAAGAGCAGAAAAACTAAATATAACGTCGGAAGAACTAAAAGTACTTAAAGATATAAAAACATATAAACCTATTGTGACTTCTCAGTCGGACAGATGAAACAGTAATACTTGACGAAACAACATATACGGGGGAAAAAATAAATGAACGAACATTTGCAATCTGAACCCCATACCCTCGTGACCAAATCATCAGAAACGATCATTTCGCGTGTGCGTCGGTGGCACAGCAGTTAGGACTCTCGCCGATCATGCACATGGTCTGGGGTTCGATCCCAGGCCGACGCATACCCGATATCAATGGTCGGCCCCAAAATTTGGGTTACCGATATCACATGCTGAAAATTTCATACTTGTATCAATAATACGGTGTGGAGTCAAGCTATAATAAAATTATAAAAAAATAAAAATAAAATAAAACGACGAAAGAGACAGCAAAAGTGGTTAGATGGATGAAAGAAATAATTAGTAGGTCAAAATGGTTGGGAATTATGCCGAAATCATGCAATATGCCTAAGATATATGGCAAGATAAAATTGCATAAAGAAGGGTATCCGATAAGACCGATTGCAAATTTTAGAAACACATCGACGTATATGCTGTCAAGATTTCTCAACAATACCAAGACCAACAAGAGGTAGTTCAAAAGCTGGAATAATAGATTCATTTGAATTAGTGCGATGACCAAAACATACTAAACTAGACGAAGAGGGAATACTAGTCAGCTTTAATGTGAACAGACTCTGTACTAAAATACTCACTCAAATGGCCATGAATGCACTGAAAGAGAAACTAAAAGAAGATGGCCTAAAAGACAGGACACAGTTATCCGTAGAAGAGATAATAAAAGGGGTTGAATTCTGTCTGACAACAACATAATTTACATCTGAAGGAAAAATATACCAACAAAATGAAGTAGCCATGGGATAGTCCATCTCACCAATAATAGCTGACACATTCATGGATTTTTGGGAAGAGACTGCACTTAAATCATTCAGGTCATCAATAAAATGTTGGTGGAGATATGTAGATGAGACGTTAGTAATAATGAAAAAGAATGATATTGAGAAATTCATCCCACACATAAACATTCCTGTAGACTCAATAAAATTCCATATGGAAATAGAGAATGACATTGGAGAACTGCCTATGTTGAACTGCAAAGTACATAGAATAACAGATGGCAAAATAAAAACGACGACACATAGAAAAGCTACGTATTGTTGGAGATTCCTTGATTATCACTCAGCTCATCCACTAATGGTAAAAAGAAAGTTAATACAAGGTCTTGCAGACAGAATACGTAGACTTACAACAACACCAGATGACCAACGAAAAGAAATGTCTGAATTTCAAAAGGTTAAATGAACTTGTTAACCTTAGAAGTAAAATTATCGTCGTACGTAACACGTTGGAATTTTATGAATTATGTATTAAAAATCATTCCTTCCCGAGGCAATTTTATAAAACTTTGAAATTCAGTAAATTACAACCAAATAACTCTAATCTTGTTCGTCTTACAAAGTCACATATCGAAAATGTTAAACAAACGTTACAAGGATTACTTGCTCTTCATACCGATGCGTCACTTATTTTATCTGAATTATCAATAATATGCCACATGAAATTTCTTCAGTTTTGTAAAGACGTTACTCAGAAAACTAAGACGAATATACAAAATAGGTTGAAGAGTTCAATTGATGATCGAAACCGCGTAGATGTCTTTCCGGTGAATCCTGATAAGTATGTTACAAATCTTTCTGATATTACTCTATCTACTCATCAGAAAGAAGCTTTATCCCTTGGACTCAAATTTTGTGTTCCTCGCACGCAATTTACGGATTTAGCCATACATGCTGAGTTTGAAAACTTATATGACCAACTCAAACCTCTTGCCGCAACATCCGATGAAGATCGGGGTTGGTTTAAGGCCAAGATGGTGGATATAGCTCATCAGTTTTTAAACAAAAACCCAAAGGAGAAAAGCATTCTAAATTCCCAGCATTTCAAAGCCTTGAAAGAGCTACGGGAAAATTCTAATAAACCCAATAATCCTCTACGTCCTATACTGTCAATGTGCAAATCCCCAACACATAAACTTGCTAAATGGTTAGTAGAATTATTGCATCCAGTTAAAACACAATTCTGTAAGTACGTGTTAAAAGATACATTTGAATTGATTGATTTTCTTGACAATAGTAATATTAATATTATGAATAAGAATATGTACTCTTTTTTGATGTAAACTCGTTATTCACTAATGCGCCTTTGCTCAAAACAGTTCACATTTTGTGTGATTACATTTCCACAAACAATTTTTTCATCCCATTTCCTATATCTTATTTAAGGGATTTATTACTTCTATGTACTAACAATGTTAGGTTTACATTTGAAGGCGATTGTTTCCGCCAAGTTGATGGTGTTGCTATGGGAAGTCCGTTAGGGCCTCTTTTAGCAGATATTTATATGTCGCACATTGAGAATTTATCGGAGGATTTAATCGAAAATGTGCCACTTTATAGAAGGTATGTAGATGATATTGCAATCATCAGTAATAAGTTTTGTTCTGCCACCTCAATTTTAAATCGAATGAATGAAGTCCAGAATAGCATATCACTTACATCTGTAGAAGAGGAAGATAACTGTTTATCTTTCCTAGACATATTGCTTAGTCGATGGCTTGATGGGTTAATAAAAATATCAATTTATAGAAAACCTACCTGGACAGGACAGTATCTTAATTACCACAGTTTTTGCCCTGTTCGGTACAAAAGAGCCTTAGTAAGGTGCCTCTTCAGTAGAATCCAACGAATATGCACTGAAGACACACTTGATGCGGAAGAAGGAAAGTTGACACAAACTCTGGTTGATAACAATTATCCAGACAAGTTCATCAGGAGATATAAAGTAGTCAGAATACCAAGACCCACACTCCAACTCGCCCCTAAGAAAGACGTGTACATCAAGCTACCCTATATGGGGCATCAAAGCAGCTTGATAACTAGACAAAGACTGAACGCTGCTGTCAAAAAGACTTTTTATGCAGCCAATATCATAATAATAGAGAATGTAAAGCCAATATATCTATCTAAGCCCTTCGAACATGCGAAAAATGACGTCACATCCCACTGTATTTACCAATTTGAATGTACGTGTGGACACACATACATAGGGAGGACTCATCGATCTCTGCAAGTAAGGGCTTCAGAGCATATTCATAAATGGCTCCAGAAACAAATGGAATCTTCAGAACCTATTAACGGTGAGAACAGGAGACCTAACTCTTCTATTGCGAAACATATTATAGAAACAGGACATAAAATTGACGTTAACAGATCTTTTAAACCTATCTATAAAACGTGTTTGGGGCGTATCCTAAAGTTTGTGGAAGCCCTAGCAATTAGAAAGTTTAAGCCACCTTTATGCGTTCAAAAACAATTCGTCATCACATTAAACCTTCCTTGGTACTATGTACTATTACCTCTGTTATTTGGTTTAGTGGTCTTCATTGTTACTTTGACCTTGAATATGTCCTTTAAACTTGACCTAAGTCTATTTTCTCACCTCTTACCTCTTTATTAATTTCATATATATTCCTATGACAAGTCCGTGTGTGATCAGATTGTCCGAAATGTGTTGCGCAAATACATTACACGATTTAGAAAAATTACGCCTTCTTATTGCTTCATATAAATTCGTAAAGGGACTAATTGTTTTGAACAAAATAATGGTGATAAGGTTTATGCGGGTGTTGATAAGAGTAACGAAGGTAGACAATTCAATAAATAGATTAGGTCAAATCTTAAAAGGTACGTAATACTAAAGGTGAAGTGGACAGATAATCTGAGTTTAAATAAGTATCATAAAAGTACGAAGGAAGTGGAAAATAAGAAAAAGTGGGAGGGTTTTCATTAGAATTCACCTAGGTTAAGCAAGGCAGAGATAAAGGTAGAATAAACTTCTTTTGTATGCAATGATTAGGATTGTTCTCTCGAATTCTGATCAGCAAAATCATTATTACTGATACAAATTAACAAGAGCGTAAAGAAGTCTGCAGAAAGAAGAGATCGCTTTCAATCACACCAGGATATACGACTATGAAACTGATAGGGAGTTCGACAAGCTCACTTCATATCAATGTCAGCACCGAAGCGATCTTATCTACAATGACTATGAAAGCTACATGACCGAACCACCCAGTTCAGGGAAAACAACTACACCAATATCTTTCATCTGAGGTACACACTCTACCAATTTTAGTATTTGAACTTTTATACCTGAAACCTTGAAATTGACTTTAGGTTTGTTCTAATGTATATTTGCTTATTAATGCTGAATTATAATTTTAGTTGGAATGTGATAATTGACTAGTGTTCAGTTATATCTATCTGACAAGTTCAAATGCAACGAAATGCAAATTCTGAAATGCCCTGGTAACCAATAAGAAGCAAATTAAATTCGAATGACAACTGAAGAGAATACGAGATATTCATTTTAAAGGCTTATACAATAGCATGAATTGCCACAATCTGTTCACATAGAATAAATAACTGAAAATCCTTTTGTTTAGGTGAATATATAACAGTCAAATAAGCGAGTAAGTAGGTAAGTAGTAATAAAGCTTTGTTTCAGACAATATGCGAACATATGGTACAAAATTTTTGCAACGTATTTAGTTCCAAAATACTTTTTCCTCATAGATGATCTACATGTTAAGTAATGATCTGAAGTGTATCTTCATTTCGTTGAAGAATTGCACAGCGTTTTCTTGGAGGTAAGTTAAATAAGTGCGCAAGTTCATGTGCAGGTCATTTGATTTAACTGGAAGATTAAAACAAAGATAAATCCAGGTGAAATTAAGCATTTTGATGGAAAGCAATTTCGGTAGCCAGGTGATTTAAGCAGGCCGCCAGAATGAGCCACAATTATTCTACGCAAGTTAGTGACATTATTTGACTGCCTAACCTTTGATGCATGGAGCAGGATTAGAACTCGTTACGCGTACAGCGACTAGATCAGTGAGTCACAGCCCCACAATGACAAGGAATTGGCTCCTCATTGTTATCATTATAATTATTACTAACTACTACTACATTTTTATCCGTGTACACAAAAAAAATTTAAGCATCTTTAATGAACTGTAATAGCATTGATCATACTTTACAAATCGACATTATTTAAAAAAACGCTAATATTGTTATTAACTACTAATTGAAAATATTCTGTGTATATAAACATATATATAATTGTAGAGCCTGGAAGAGGAATTTATCGAAAAGAATCTTCTTTGCTCGATTATTTTGTGTTTTATAGATGTCTGAATGAATATTTTTGCTATATTAAGACAAAAATATCAACAAAGAATGGTCTTCCCTGTAGAATTTATTCATTTTCAAAATAATAATAATAAACACATATACGTCTCATTTAGTGAACAGAGAGAAGAAAACTTAATGGAGAGAAACACACAGATGTAAAAGTGGTAGACAAAATTTTCAACTTACTATTATTACACTGTTCAGTATATAGCATGTGACCTATCACAAATGCAAACATATAACAACTGCAGTATAAAAACAAAATATTTTAAGTGAAATACATTAAACATTATGTTCATCATCACATGATACATACGTTTGTGTGTTTCTTGTAATGTGTTTGTTTTTGCTAAATGTAAAGGTAGATAATGCGCTTCCATTGTGCGCAATCATAGAGGTGAAGATATGGCTTATTGCCTTGAGCATTCTGGATTTCCTGCATGTGAATCTCATTTAACCTACTTCAGTCTGTGAAATTAGGTTGCATAATCAGCCCTTGAACAATAACTGTGTTTCACAGCACTGAGCCGAGTAACTGATATCTCAGTAATTGACTAACCGACTAACTATACTAAAGTGGGTAAGCTAATTAAAGCATCAGCTCTGAGAAACCTAAAAAACTAAGGAGAACTTGACAGTTATTTATTTTCCAGTTAGGAAGGTATTATTAATGAGCACCAATAGTCATACATGAGATCATTAACTGATCGTCAGATTTCTAAGTGAACAGGTTAGTATATCACTTATAGAGGTTCAATGGTAGAATGCTCACCAGTCACGAAAGATTTCCAGGATTAGATTCCCAGTTGACGTACTCCTAAACCTTGCCTAGTTTGCTAACTGGTAATAACCCCGTGAGTCAACTTCATGCCATAAAAGCAACACCACCATTACAACTGGAACTTCAAAAGATTGAAGACCCATGCTCCACTCTGAATACAACGAATGAAAAAAAGAATATAGTCCTCAACTTCGTTCATTGGCTGTTTTGCTGCTCATGATGATTATAACCTTGAAATTGATCAGATAAAAATAAACTTAACCATCCAAACACCTTTGGTAATAATTTCTATTAAGTATAACCCGTCAAATGTGATCACAATCCAAGTTAATTATATATATATATATATATATATATATATATATATAATACAAAATAATTGAGCAAAGAATATCCTTTTCGATAAATTCCTCTTCTGGCTCTACAACTACATATATGTTTATATGCATAGAATATTCTAGATTAGTAGTCAATAACAATATTAGTGTTTTTTTAAATAATATCAATTTGTAAAGTAAGATCAATGCAATTTTAAAGATGCTTAAATCATAATAATAATAATGTAATAGCAAATAGAATATCAACTTAAATTAAGGAAATTTCTACAAAAAATTGAGGATCATTCGAATCTAGATGGCCAAGGTAAGGACACTGTCTGAACTAACTTCTTTATGATGCACAAATTAGGCTTGTTAATATGGAGCGATCCCAACGGCCTCAACAATACGTAGTAGACGAACTCTTAAGGCGAAGTTAAGATTTGCTGGTATGCGGTAAATGACTTTGAAAGCCTGGTTAACATCAATTTTGTGTTCTGGATCCACGAGATAAGATAGAATAGCGCTACGAATAGATTTTGCTTGTCCTTTACTTAACCTCGTAGGGTGATGTTCGGAAATCCGACGAGAAACACGCGGTGGCCTATGTAACTGGCTCCACAAGAGCAGTTAAATTGGCAGAAACACATAGAAGAGGCGAAATTAGGCAGTTTGTCTTTTACTCACGAATGCAAAAGAGGAGTGGTTTTGAAGACACCGCGTAATTCGGCAGCATGGAATGCATTTTTTACCGCATTAGTAAGTCGTTGTGTTAGTATCTCGCTGATGTTGTTCCCCGAGAAACTGCAATTGTAAGAATAGGGCTTTTTTAGGAACTGCTGGTAACTTCGGCTGCCTTGATTTTAGATTCATATTCTTATCGATAAACTTTTCTGGATAACCATTTTCACTCAGTAACCATTTAAAATTATTAAGTTCCTCATCAAGACATTCATCCGAGCAGATTGCTCTTGCTCTATGAACCAAGCACGAAGCTGAAAAAATGAGTATACTGACCCGTTGATGTAGGCTTTTTATATACACTTCTTATTGTGCCATCCTCTTTTCTGGTCATAAGAACGTCTAGAAATGAAATACTAGTCTTTTCCTTTCTCAATAGCAGAATTTATCGCAGGATGAACTTCGTTAAATCCAGGATGTTCTTTGCTTACTCCTCATTTTTCATAATCAAAAATGTGTCATCCATGTACCCACAATAGAATTCAAGTTCATTAATAACATACTGCAAAGGCCCGTTTTCTAGTTTCGCAAGAAAAATGTCGGCTAAAATGGGTCCTAGTGGTGACGCCATTGCTACACCATTGATTTGTCCCCATACTTCCCAATTAAATAAAAAGTGGACATTCAATGTACATTTCAAGAGAAGCTCTTTCATAAAAATTATAGGAATGCCAACAGTTCCTAAACAGGCCCTATTCTTACAAATGCAGTTTCTCGGGGAACAACATCAGCGAGATACTAACACAACGACTTACTAATGCGGTAAAAAATGCATTCCATGCTGCCGAATTACGCGGTGTCTTCAAAACCACTCCTCTTTTGCATTCGTGAGTAAAAGACAAACTGCCTAATTTCGCCTCTTCTATGTGTTTCTGCCAATTTAACTGCTCTTGTGGAGCCAGTTACATAGGCCACCGCGTGTTTCTCGTCGGATTTCCGAACATCACCCTACGAGGTTAAGTAAAGGACAAGCAAAATCTATTCGTAGCGCTATTCTATCTTATCTCGTGGATCCAGAACACAAAATTGATGTTAACCAGGCTTTCAAAGTCATTTACCGCATACCAGCAAATCTTAACTTCGCCTTAAGAGTTCGTCTACTACGTATTGTTGAGGCCGTTGGGATCGCTCCATATTAACAAGCCTAATTTGTGCATCATAAAGAAGTTAGTTCAGACATTGTCCTTACCTTGGCCATCTAGATTCGAATGATCCTCAATTTTTTGTAGAAATTTCCTTAATTTAAGTTGATATTCTATTTGCTATTACATTATTATTATTATGATTTAAGCATCTTTAAAATTGCATTGATCTTACTTTACAAATTGATATTATTTAAAAAAACACTAATATTGTTATTGACTACTAATCTAGAATATTCTATGCATATAAACATATATGTAGTTGTAGAGCCAGAAGAGGAATTTATCGAAAAGGATATTCTTTGCTCAATTATTTTGTATTATATATATATATATATATATATATATATAATATCTGGAATACAATAAGATAATTGTGTTCAGGGAATATCCATCTATGAGGTTATGAACTTACCCAAAAGTAAACTGAATAATATGCTTCCCAAGAGGAAATCATGAACTGAATGGTAAATGAGAAGAAAAATCAAAACATACATATATGTCAAACATATTGAAATAATCTTAACATACGTATATCAGTAAGGTTATTGTAACAACACATAGTGTAGCGAAAGTCAGCGAAAATGAAATAACACGTTAAACTGATTGCAGATTATTTGTGAAGATATGTACTGGATTGAAATCGCAGTAAGAAAACCACCACTCATTGGAGGTGAAACGACATTCAGCTGACGAAACCTGAGTTGTGCATTCAAGAACTGAGTAATGATCACAGATAAACTTAATTCACCTTTTTGTTAGTATACAAGACTTGTGATGATTAGTTTTATGGTCATTAACTTGGAGTAAATGAAATACATCAAACATATGTGAGTAATATAATCGGTATTCAAATGCAAACATCTGTTTGGAAAAGCTGACCAAGAAGTTTTGGAAATTTCAAAAGAAACTGCGTGAGGTTTTTGTAAAAGTGTTATTTCAAAGAAAGTAAAACTGAAAACGTTGCACTAGTAAGCAGTAGTTCAAGTTGCCACACTTCATATATCACAAATGAAGGTAGAAGGATGAAATTCAAAGAAATCACAGTATACTGAAATTTACGGGGAAAGAACAAATGAATGGAAAATGATGACGATTTAATAGATCTGAATTCACAAAGAACGAACGCATCTGCGCCACTGAGAGCGATTTTGAGCAATATAACCAACATTCTCAAGCTATTGGTTCTTAGAATCTCGAAGACCTCAGCAGGACAGTCTATACTTCTCTATATGTCTCAAAGTAACAGTCAGAGACTTCATGGATTAATGCCAACTTTGGGTTTGACCATTCTTAACTCCTTTCTAACCTAATCCCATGTTAGCTAACATTACTGGATGAGGGAGACAATGGCCTGGTACGTGTGATACGTATCCTGGCCATCTAATTCGATGCAGCTTCACAACCTCATCGACTGACTTTCCCACCTTACCTAATACTCTGCCTAACATGTAATGCTATCTAACGTGAGAAGCTTGACATCTATGATCAAATAAGCCTAGCCTCTTCATAACTCCTACTTTCAACGGCCACGTCTCACTAGTGTAAACAAAGAGGGGATAGCTGTCATAAAGGTTAGTTGATTCATGAGTATTAAGAACATAAATTACTTTTTCGGGCAGAAGTAATCAGGAAAATGTTGCGCTAATGAGAAGGTTATATATTAACTCAAAATTTACACTTAACTGATGCGAACAATTAGTTATGCACGCAGTAATTCATTATAGTTTTGATAAGATAGTGAGTGATGTAGCTGTACTTCAACTGTAGATACATCCTTCAAAATTTGTCGACAATGCAGTTGAATTTACGTAAGATAACACAAGTTAAATGGCATACCTTCATTTCTGTTTGAATGCATACTGATAGCAAAACCTTATTTAACAATGAAGCACTTGTTAACAAATCAGAGAGGAAATAAATCTGATTTATCTTCCATTACAAGAGACTTCTACTTAGTTACTATTATATTTCAACGGTTGTTTATGCACAATTTCATTTTAGTACTATTTACGAGCAGAATTACTGCCCATGATCACATCAACAGTTGGAAATATTTTTTTAAAATTCACACACCTAATCAAACACTTATTAGTCCTGAGTTGATCACGGATGGATATCAGTTAGAGAACCATTGAAAACCAGGGAGTACTGGACAGCTGCTGTTTCATCCTAGTTTGGGAATCATCGGCAGTACGCACCCACTGGGGTTAGAACCCAGGACCTTCCGCTTACAAGGCAAGCTCGTATACCATTCAGCCACTGGGACCCGATTCAATGGCTCATGAATTCTAAATTCTACCAGTTCGTGATTTAGCGCGACCCCAACCATTGTCGTAGGTGGGATATAAATCCGTGATCAACTCGTAAGATCAAAACTAACCCTTACAAACCAAACTATAGAAAACTTATTAGTCCATTTATTTTGTATCCGAAATTATAATCCAAGTTGTTGACAGTTAAGCTGAGTAACATTTATTCCATGTTCATTCCATTTATCCCCATTCCTATTCAACTTCATCATAGACGTACTAATGAACTTAACCCTAACACACTTCAGCGACTCAGGGATTGACTTGCTACCAGGGAATAATCTCGTTGACTTAGAATATGCGGACGATATAGTCCTTCTAGGCGAGGACTCTGACAAAATGCAAAGTCTACTGAACACCCTGAGCAACAATCTTCGTATGTTTGGCATGCGATTCGCCCCTGTAAAATGTAAGATGATGCTGCAGGATTGGACTTCATCGACCCCTAGATTAGAAATAGGAAGTGAAGTGGTAGAACACGTTGACCGCTTCAATTACTTGGGAAGTACCATCAGCTCCAACGGGTTGATCTCAGACGAAACTTCAGCACGAATACAGAGGGCTAGATTCGCATACGCCAGTTTTCGCCGTCTCTGGCGTAGACGCGATATCCGACTATCGACCAAAGGGCGTGTGTACTGCTCAACAGTCCGCTCCGTCCTCCTTTATGGCTGCGTGACCAGGCCATTGAGAGCAGAAGACACGAAAAGACTAGCTGTCTTCGATCATAGGTGTCTGCGTTCTATCTCCCGTGCCAAGTGGTATAATAAGGTGAGCAATACTGAGGTTAGGCGTCGAGTGCTAGGTAAGGAGGGAAAATCAATCGACGAAACGGTGAAATTACTTCGACTGAGATGGTTAGGACATGTGATACGTATGCCTAGTCATCGCCTTCCTCGACAAGGGGCAATGTTAGCTGATATAGGGCCAGGCTGGAAAAGAGCTAGTGGTGGTCAAACGAAAACATGGCACCAGTCAATGAAATCTACAACAGTTAGTCTCAGCCACGTAGGAAGATGTAGACTTCCGGGTTGGGGTCCTCGGGATGGTAAAAACCAATGGTTGGAAACAATTGGTGACATGGCTCAAAATCGTTCTCAGTGGCGCAGATGCATCTACTCCTTGTGACTTATGATTTCCGATTAAACTGTTTTGTTCTCCGTTATTACTATTCCTTTATCTCACACTCCTGTTTACTGTCTATATTATGCATTTCTTCTACTTTCTTCTCTTGCTTTGGGTGCTACATAGATTGTGGCGATTTGAACTGCCGCACATATGTGCAAAGTTCTATGTCGAAAACCGACCGACCGACCATGTGTTCAAACTATTAGCAGAATAGAAAAAGCCTTATAGTACGTAAACAACCAGTGAAATGCAATTACAATTAACTGATCTATTCCATAATGCACAAAATTTCTACACATATTGCTGCCAATTAACTTTGATTGTTGAGTAACAACTATGACACTAGTTTAATTTTATACAGCACCTAGTTTCTACAACTCTACAACTTTATTCTACCACTCCACATCAGTTTAAGAGTGATTCAGTGTTATTAACTGCGTGATATACTGGGTAGATTTCATTACTTATAATCATTTGTCGTCAGAAAAACAATTTTCGGGAAATACATCATTGGCTTAAGCACTTGGGTTCCAGTCAACCGGTCTTGCGTTCGAATCCTGCTTCACTTATTTCAACCTGGGCAACTAGGAAGTACTGTTAGTTCTCACAGAACGAATGTGACTCATAGCCTGGTACATGGAAGTTCAAACAAACAATTTTCAGTGTTTGGTTTTAACAATACCATTACATATTATTTTGGAATTTAATGATAGCTTAATAATATTTACATAAAAGAGAAATGAATGTTACTACTCACACACATCTAAACTGCGATTAGTCACTAGGCGATGTATTTGGTTCTGTTTTTTCTCATTGGATCAATAGGATGGTAAAACTATACCGATTTGCTTCTAAGTGAGTTTATAATATTAAATGTAATTCTCATATGTCTCTAATTAATTAGGCTAGTGAAATAGAAAAACTGACAAGTGAAATCGGATGAATTTCAGTACAAAAATGCCACTTATATATATATATATATATATATACTCTGTCTTTCATCTCTGATATAAACTTGATATGTATAGGATTATCTTCCAGCTAAATTTGTTACGGCACTGTGATAATCCATGGATTAACTACTCCTTACAGCAGTATAATCATTTGTTGGTCTCATCTCGTATCAAGCCAAATACAAGTTATTGTATTCAACCTTTTGAACTAGTATTCTGCAATTTGTGTAACATAACAATGCCAATGCCACTGTTTATAGTGATTAATGCAGTATTAAGTGGAACTCTTACTGGACGTCATCAACCGAAATTTCCAGATTTATACATAGACTATAAATCCAGAATGATAATCGGAATACACGATTCCACAGTTTACACTGCTACATCAAGCTAAGAAGTCGTTTAAAAATACATATGCTACTAATAAGCCTGCGACTACTAATAGATGCTAATATTTACTGGGTTTTTGTACATCAATACTTAGTGTGACAAAGTGTTTTCTCTACACTTATTCTTAGTCTCTGTACTCATTAACTTACTTGATTATTCAGCCAACATTCTCTGAAACAATTAATCGCCTACGTAATCTTAGGGATTGGTGTAACCAAATTGAAATTGAAGAGTTTTGTGCAGCCATAAATTTCAAATAAATACAAAAATGATAGTTATTCCTCAGCACTTATCCTACATAAAACATAAATTGCTTCGAAGATAGTCTTGCAATAACGTGAGATACATTCTATGGTAATCTGTGGGATTTTGACAGGACACAAATAAACGATTGAAAATTTATTAAAATCACTCAAAAGTTCCCCCCCCCCCAGAATCTCTGAAATGTTCCAACGACAACATAATGGCAGTGGGAGTCCATCATCCTTTAATTTATACTGCACATTGAAACATGAAGTCATGAAATAGCACAAGCCAATTACGAAATGTATCCCAAATGGTTTAATACCGATTCCCATGAAAAAGTGCATCTAATTTGTACATTACTCCTGAAATTGGATATGTTTATTATGATCGCTCAATTGTTGCACTAATAAGGTTAGTAAATACAAATGCTTAGAAATTTTCCAGTACATTTCGCTGACCCGAACTGGTATTTTCAAGAGGGTTTACACAACAATAATGGAATGCGTATTCTAAACAAGCCAGTGAGAGATGTAGTAAAGGCAATAAAAAAGTATCATCGAAACTAATTGTGCAGCAACGTGGGCCGAGTACTGGAGGTCTATTAATGTGGCGACAGTTGATTGGTCGTTTATCTGATTAGTGCACAGATTGTCAACATTTGTACAATTTGAATCCTGAATGATGGACTATAGAGCTAGTTAGTCTTATAACCGTGCAGTGACAGGAAGAAAGAAGATTTGATCGTGTTGTTAATCGGTATGCGAGAAGTGGACAAAAGCAAAAGACAAGAAAATTACCGGAGAATTTAGGATAAAGTCGGATTCCTGTCCAATATATAGTCTAGGTTAATAACGAAAATTTCCCAGTGATTACATAGAGAAATATGATTTTCTAAGTATCCGAAAGAATAGTGCAACAAGGAACATAAAACTACTTAAATTCATGATAAAAATCAGTGATTCATATTCTCTTCTAAAATATCAGACGATGATGTTGATCTGACTTATTGACGAATAAATAGAGAAATTTCATTGGAGCAATCAGTTAATCAGACCACTTCCTTATCAGATCATCAGTTAGAATAATTATTGAAGTAATTAAAACGAGTGTAATTCACTCAAACACTTTGCCGAATACCTTATTCATTGGATCCAACATAATTATATTTTCCCGTGGGAAGAATAACACTAATGAAGAGATCATTGACATTCTTGTACATCATAACAATTATGGCTAACGCAACTGTATTATGCTTCAGTACTAGATAATCGAGATCAATACATGAACTCATTTGTTAAATTCACAGTTAATAATAAGTTGATTGAAATTTAAGCAAATTTTCAAAGCAGCGGAGAAGATTTGTAGATTAGGTGGATGTTTTTGTGTTGCCTGATCTGGATGCTTTAACCGAGAAGTTTTCATTGTCCTTCTGGACAACATTTTCAGTACTAACTTCACAGGAAAGTTGTTGTGCAGATGGATATTGAAAGTTTCATAATTAGTAACAGTAATGTTGTATTCTCCGAGCTGGATAGCCATTCAACTTGGAGAATACAACAAAAGTAAACACAAATTTTATATTTCATCATTAGTGTAGGTGTTATGTACCAGTCGCGTCGACAGTTGATATGATCCAGTGGACTGATGCCTGGGTATAATAATACCGACGCAACGAACAACCCAACTGACATGCTCGATTCGTCCGTGGTACCTTCCGCTTCACAGAGCCACGTAAATATCAAAAGACAAATACTGGCATATGACTGTTAGGATACGATTTTATTAGGAAAAACATGTTCATATTTAAATTTTTATAACATTAAAGTCGGCCCAGAGCAGTGGAAATCGATTGTTCTGATTGGTTGGCAATTTGACCATGACAAAGATGAGAAAAAGAGGATGAAATTTTACAGCCATCTGATCACACGATGAATCACATGATGAAAAGTGCGTCGGTGGCACAGTGGTTAGGACTCTCGCCGACCATGCACATGGTCCGGGGTTCGATCCCCTGCCAACGCACACCCGATATCTATGGTTGGTCTGCAAAATTTGGGCTACCGATATCCATGCTGAAAATTCCATACTTGTACTGAAAATACGGTGTGGAATCAAGCTGTAATCAAAAATAAAAATTAAATAAATAAATAAGAAACATAAGATGATTACTACTTTAGGCTGATTCCTATCAGTAGGCGCAGTTAGTCTGAAGGTAGAATGGTGAAGTAATCTTGGAAACCTAAAGATGGAGACGAAAGTTAGATATGCGAGGCTTGGATTCCATACTTACGTATACATTTCAAATTATGCACGAATATGCTTGTACCGTTAAAGGGATGCCTCTGTAGCGTGAACAAACGTATTTAAAGAATGTTACTGAAAAGAAAGAAATCACTCCTTCGCGGAAATTCAATGGTGGTGTTGGTCGGTATGCCCAAGCAAAAGTTTGGGGGACAACTCAAGAAGAATGGGCCGAAAAGTTTGCACAGACGCTTCTCCAAATGTTGCACAATATCTTCAGCAATGAGGTATATACAAGGATATGTATATATAAATATGTATATATATATACTCTGAGGTAATATTACAAATTGTAGTGATTAGTAACAATCGTAATAGTAATGATTAATGATAATAATAATAATATTGATAATAATAACGAAGCGATTTACTTACCGTAAAAATGTATTCGGTTAGGTATGTTTGCAGGCAAAGTTTTCGAAAACTGAACTTGTAATTGATGGTACAGAATGGATGTGTTTGTTTCATCAGACAAACCAGAAGACTGAGACTTGTCTAAGTCATGAGATGTAGTAAACTGTGCAACAGCGCTGTAATTAGAAAGTAAAAGGTAATGACAAAATGATACTATTCAAGATTATGTACTAGACAAGTTATGGAAATAAGTTAGAATATAGAAATATGAGATACATGCATATCAACGAAAATTGATGCCTGAATGTGAATAATGTGAACACTACTCTTATTTATACTTCAATTTATTTTGTTGCGTGACATCTTCAAAGGGTTTACCCGTCTAAAATTTAAAAACTGATTATGTTACCTTCTTTCTCCTGTATAAAAAAAGATTGGGAACTCGGTTCAAATTAATTGAATTATCTTACCTTCTTTTTCTCTCTTTTAGCTTACAGTTGCTTTCAGTATAAATACAAAGTGTCATGAAAAGATAGATAAAGAATGTTCGTTTAAACACTGATTTTCTCTATTGACTCACATGGTGTGCAACTACTGAGAAACTTGTAGGGAGAGAGATTCATTCATCTTCTCTTTGAATATCCTTACTACATTTTTTTGAATTAGACAACTGCATATTAAAGATTATGGTCTTGTTTACCCGTCCATTCCAGTCTCTCGCCATAATTCAATGTTGGTTCTTGCTCTCTTCATATATCCATTTAGTTAACTGTCAAGAATGGTTTTATTTATACTATGTGAAGTACTTATTTTGTTTTTAGCTTAGATATTAACTAAACAAAATATCATCCAGTAAATAATACTGTTTCACTGTGTGATACATCTAAAAAACAAACTAATATGGAATTAAATATATGTATTTAGAAAGGGAAATAAATCTATAATTGGGCGTCTAAGGATAATGACTTGCAACATAGAAAAAAGCGTGTTTTACACGCCGTTCATTCGAACAAAGTAGTGCAGTAAACATCTTTAAAAATTCAATCACACACCGATTGCTTAATTAAGACGAACAAAACATGGAGTAGTATAACACGGATCCATTTTTTTTTATTTAACTGTTTTTCTCTCAACCATGTAGAAGTTATAATATCCATCCTAGATAATTATAATGAACTTCTGACACATACCTTATTTCGATAGATAGAAATCAAGTCGTTCATAATAGGGTAAATTTATTAAATTCAATTAAGATGTCACTAATATGTCTGATTAGAACAGAGTCTATACTGAATGTATTTTTTTGTGCTGGAAAGATGAACTCTCATTTTTGTTTACTTGTCACTAAGGTGATGAAATTCACGGCCTGTTGAGAAAAGAACAAGATCAGAATTTTTAGTACCAATGTCAAATTAATCTTTTTATACGATACACGACGCATCACTGAAACCATTTCCAGTAGACTGCAGATTTTCATCAACACTTGTGTTCGCTTCATACTGAAGATCAGGTAACCAGAAAGGATAAGCAACAACTCTGGGAAGTCAGCCAACCCTGAACCTATTGCCCAACCAATATGTAAAAGAAAATAGGGATGGATGGACATTTAAGTGGCATCCCAGACTGGGCCGTCGAATGGAACCCGAATGAGAAGCCATACGTTGGGCGGGGAAGATAATATGAAGAGGAAATAAGAACTTGTGGGCAGTAGTGGAGCCGAGTGAAAGTCATGGCGGAGAATTAAGTACGAATAAGCCCTATATATCATTCAGAACGCGATGGCTGAATACTGACAAATAATAATTGAGATGTATTATGACACTGATGTTTGTCGATTAGTCTGGGACTTATCAGTCCTTCTTATGTGAAAGTTTATGAAACAAGACTGAGTTTTTGTGATTGCATTCCTGGAGCTTTTCGGGATGGAAAAGCACTTCATGTTTTCCTGTAATACAATCTGACACATTTTTAAGTTTGCTAGACTGTTTTACAAAGCATTATGACATTGCATCAGCTAATACATCTATTAAGCAAATAGCTGTCCTTTAATTAATGTGAATCCAGTGATGTTTTCGTTTGTGATGTGCCAATAAGCAATAAATCGTAGAAGAAACTATTGTACAGAGAAAATGAGGTAATATTTTAACAACGAATGAATGTTTAGTCCTTAGGTATGTCTAATTACAAAATATCTCAATGTATAACAACTATGGTTATCCATGGTGCCAAAAACAAAATGCAAGCCAAACGACCAATGGAAATAGGAATCAAAGACTGATCAAATTTCCTGTTTCAAGAGGCAGCTGATGACTCTGAAGTTAATTGTTTCACGACACAAGATAAGAAATTCAGCTACATTCTACAAACTTCAAATTCACACGTATTACTTACGTCTGCTCCTCATCAACGTCGAGTTTCACGAAGTCGGATGACGTAGAGAGGGAGTTTTCTGAGTAATCGGACTCCAAAAGCTCTGTGCTAGGTGATTCATCTTGCGGAACTAGGTCGGAGAATGAGTTGGTGTTTTCCTTTGCACTGACTTCATCTGAAATAACAAATACTGTGAGTTTTAATTGAATTTCATTTTTTATTAGTTTATCTAGCACATTCAGGTAGGTTACACAACTACGTTTCTCATATCTCAGTGAAATGATTTATTTCCAGCTAACGGATTTCATACTAAGATTTCTTATCACAAAAGTCTAATGAGGGATGCGATTACAGATAATAAGATGGAATCCTAGTACGAAAAAGCGATTGTTACTTAAAAGGACAAAGCTTGTTGTAAGCTTTATACTTAGATTTTTCTTTAGATGACTGGTGAAAGACGAACAATAAAGCACGAAGTACTGAACGGAAACCAACTGTTCAATCTTTACTGGCCCGTGATTATATGACTAAAATATTCCTCGATTTATCACAAGTACTGAAAACTTCTGTGACTAAAATTACCGAGAGTCCGTTGATTTCTTAGCGACAGTATCACCGTTAATTTGGATTACGTTTCGTTAAGCAAAGACCATATAAATCCCCGGCGTTTAATGCAAAATTGTAAGTTGAAAACTCAGTCAGTCAGCTCTTACATTCTGATTATGTAGGTCAGTTACGCAATAGCTGGGAATATTTCCGTTATTACCTTACCAGTTTAAACTACGGAAAAGAAAACTCAAAACAGAATTATAATCTGCATGCACGATTCCACAGTTTACACTGCTACATCAAGCTAAGAAGTCGTTTAAAAATACATATGCTACTAATAAGCCTGCGACTACTAATAGATGCTAATATTTACTGGGTTTTTGTACATCAATACTTAGTGTGACAAAGTGTTTTCTCTACACTTATTCTTAGTCTCTGTACTCATTAACTTACTTGATTATTCAGCCAACAATCTCTGAAACAATTAATCGCCTACGTAATCTTAGGGATTGGTGTAACCAAATTGAAATTGAAGAGTTTTGTGCAGCCATCAATTTCAAATAAATACAAAAATGATAGTTATTCCTCAGCACTTATCCTACATAAAACATAAATTGCTTCGAAGATAGTCTTGCAATAACGTGAGATACATTCTATGGTAATCTGTGGGATTTTGACAGGACACAAATAAACGATTGAAAATTTATTAAAATCACCCAAAAGTTCCCCCCAGAATCTCTGAAATGTTCCAACGACAACATAGTGACAGTGAGTGCTGAAATAGAAATATGCCTGACTGAAAACATGAAGCATAAGGGCAAGTATGGTTAGTAAAGTAGACGTTTATCCTGGACGTTGCTCAGTATGCAAAAATGCCTATGACAAACCGAAAAGTAAGAGGTAATCTTAATGATCCGTGCCTTTTATTAAAACCCAATAGGCCTCTATGTCAGTATGTTAACAGATAACCTTTAGCATATAGATCACTCATCATCAATCATTGTTTCCCAGCGAAATCATACTACTTAAACTGAGAAAAATCTACACATGCTAACTTCTGAAAGTACCATTCGACTACGATGCAATCTTCGTTTAGTTTTGGCTGATTGAGTGCTTTGGCGTATATATACATAGGATATTCTACCTGCTAAATTATTGTTTGATCATCAATGGTACATATGTCTACTTAACTCTTATAGTCCCTGACCGATAGCTGGTTTTCTTGACACGAGCAACAGCTGCTACCTTGAGGTTGTGGTCCGGTTTGCATGTCCCAATGACTCAACAAGCTACACTGGCTGAACCTATTGTTCCTCCAGGTCCTACCATGTCAGGAAAATTGTTAGGATAGCAATTAGACTAAAAGCAGTTACCATTATAGCGTAAGACTTTTTTACTCCATGCTGGGCGTCTGTGGGCGAAGTCGTAGTGCTGAGGAATAGGAATGTAACAGCAGTAAGGTGTTTCCCTCAGATGACCACCATGTCAGCTAGCTATGCTGTCTCTCTACTCTGGAGAGGGGTTAGAAAAGGTCGACCCCAAAATTGTACATCCCGGACTTACCCTACTGTGGTCCGTAACCGACGGTAAATTTACTAATACGGAACCTAACCTAAAACCTAGTTCATACAGGCCGTGTGTGACCGGCCTCAAGCAGTTGTCTCCTGGGCTCTGTAGTCACGCAACACTAACCCTCTTTTTATTTCAGGTACCCCAAGTATAAATCAACTTCCACGGTGTGAGCAGCCGGGAAGTAACAACCACCCACACACTCCCAAAGCACACAAAACCCTCCTGATCATCCTCCTCCTTTATCCACTTCACCCTCACCATTTTTCCCCCTTACTACAGTCAGTACTATCCTTCAGACTAGTGAGTCATCTTCACTTTACTTCACTCTGTGACCACAAACAACGATGAGAGCCATAGAAACACTCCCGACAGTCTCCTAGAGCCATGTCGCCAACTTCATCTAGGAGCTTTCAACGTCAGGACCCTCTGTCAAATGAGACAGCAGGCGTCACTAGCCAGAACTCTGTCATTTCGAGCCATGGATGTATGTTGTGTCTCCGAGACACACATACAATACCCGAGTGTGATCATTCACTTAAGCTCACCCGGCCAACAAAGTGAATCTGCAAATTCACCCTAAGGCTGTCAGGAAACCCCTCAGCTGGTGTAGGGATAGAATTGAGTGTTAGGGCAGAAAAATCACTTCTCGACTGGATTCCAGTGGATAGTCATATGTGTGCAGTCCGTCTGAACAGGTCCGTTAGGAGAAAGAAGGACGGCGTTACCCATAGTTGTCTTTACACAGTCTCCGCTTACGCCCCAACCCACTGCATTTCAGATGAACTAAAGGATGATTTCTACCAGAAACTGTCTAGTTTGCTGCAAAAAGCAAAACGCTCAGATATTGTTGTTTTAGCAGACCACTTTAATGCCCAAGTAGGGAAGTTATACCACATTGAGAGGTATGTAGGTGGTACGTATGGAGTTCAACGCCAACCAACCGACAATGGGGATCGTCTTAAACAGTTCTGTACAGATAATCCATCTTTCCCTGGTCAGTACTAACTTCAGCCACAAAGAGAGACATTGCCTAACCTGACGATCTCCATCACCAAATCAACCTTGGACTCAAATAGGGTATCGTTGGCGAGGGTCAGTAGACGACTGTCGCTCCTTTTGGAACACGTGTGTAGACTCCGATCACGCTCTGGTCCGCGCACGTTTATGCTTACAACTAAACAGACATAAGAAATTATTGGTAGCGAAACAGTTACGTCCCCAACTAGATCAAGACACTCAATCCGTATGTCAGGAAGAAATAGCGAAACGAGTGTCTGAGGTCGACAGCAGGACCTCACCCGAGGTAGCCTGGCACAACATACAGTTAGCTGTAAACACAGCTGTAAAGGCTGTTAATAACCTGAAACCAAAAGTTAATATTAACCACTGGATTCCTACCACCGCATCCCAACTGATTAAAGCAAGAAGACTGATTCCGGAAAACTCCAAATATGATGAGGAGGAGCGAAAGCTGCCCAAACGCAAACTAACAAGAAGCCTTCGTAACAACCGTGAACAGTGGTGGGTGACAAAAGCGAAAGAGATGGAAAAGGCATCGGCGATTGGTAACACCAGACAACTATTTAGACTTATCAGGGAAACAGGTGGTAAAAGACAAACCATAAATGAAACAATCTCTGAGGAAAATGGCACCATAATTAGCTCTCAGAATAGACGACTAGAACGCTAGAAAGAACAATTTGATACGCAATTAAATTGGCCTACGGCCACTCTCAACCTGCCCAACATCCAACACCTCCCTGAATGGGATATAGACACAGGTCCTCCGTCCCTAACTGAGGTTACTAGGGCTGTCACTTGTCTGAAACGAGGCAAAGGAGCAGGACCTGATGGAATGACTCCAGAGGTGTTTAATTACGGTGGAGACAGTTTACTGTCTGCGTTAACTAAGGTACTAGGCATAGTCTGGGAATCAGAGGAAGTTCCGTTGGGTTTGTGTAAGTCGTTGATTATTCCCATATCCAAGAAGGGAGACAAGTCTTCCTGTGATAATCACAGGGGGATTGACTCGACCATTATGGTATCTAAAGTTCTAGGCTCGATAATCATGCGTAGACTAAACGGTGCTGGGGAGGAACAAACACGAGAGAACCAGGCAGGCTTTAGACCAGGAAGAGGATGTATTGATCATATCTTCACTCTCCGACCGGTGTCCAACAATCGTCATATTTCTTGACCTGAAAGCAGCATTTGAGTCGGTCGACCGAGAGGTACTATGGTGATGTTTGGCTGTGACAGAAATGCCGAGGAATCACATCACACTGATCAAGACACTCTACTCGAACTCATCCAGCCAACCAGGTGAGACCCTACCGGGAGTTGTCATCTGAAGTGGTGACAACTAGTGGCGTCCGTCAGGGATACCCACTACCCTCTTTCTATTCAACTTCATCATAGATGTACTAATGGAATTAGCCCTAACTGTTAACTTCAGCGACTCAGCGATTCACTTGTTACCAGGGGATAATCTAGTTGACTTAGAATATCCAGATGATATAGTCCTTCTAGGTGAAGACACTGACAAAATAGAGCAGTCTTCTCAACACCTTGAACTGCAATCTGAGAATGTTCGACATGCGACTCGCTCATGTCAGCCAAATGTAAGATGATTTGGCTACAGGACAGGACGAAATTGACTCCTAGCTTAGAGATAGGGAGTGAAGTCGTAGAGCGTGTTGACCACTTCACTTATTTGGGGAGTTGCATCAACCTGTGCCAACGGGTTGATCGGTGACGAAATCTCACCACGGATACAGAAGGCTCGTTTCGCATATGTCAGTTTACGCCATCTCTGGCGTAGACGTGACACCCGGCTACCAACCAAAAGGTGTGTGTACTGCTCAGCAGTCCACTCAGTCCTCCTTTAAGGCTGTGAGACCTGGCCATTGAGAGTGGAAGACATGAAAAGACTAACTGTCTTTGATCATAGGTGCCTGCGTTCTATCTCCCGTGTCAAGTGGTTATAATAGGGTGAACAATATTGAGATCAGGCGTTGAGCACTAGGTAAGGAGGGGAAATCAATCGACGTGGTTGTAAAGTTGCATCGATTGAGATGGTTAGGACATGTGATACGTATGCCTAGTCATCGCGTTCCTCGACAATGGGCAATGTTAGCTGACACAGGATGGATCAAATTGGAAAAGAGCTAGTGGTGGTCAAAACGAAACATGGCATCAGTCAATGAAATCCACAATAGTTAGTTTAAGCCAGCCACGTAGGGAGATGTAGACTTCCTGGTTGGGGTCTTCAGGATGGTGAAAGCCAATTGCTGCAGACAATTTGTGGCGCAGATGCATCCACTCAATGTGATTTATAATATCCAATATAACTCTATTGTTATTCCATATTACTATTTTCTCGCCTCATATTTCTTTTTCTTATCTGTTACGAACCCTCTACTTTCTTCTCTGGCTGTACGCTTCATGAAGTGTGGCAACTTGAACTGCTGCACATCTGTGCAAAGTTCTATGTTGAAACCTGTCAGTCAGCCAGACTTATAGTCTAGAGGACCATGGACTGAATGGCTATTACTAATCCTTTACAAATGCTTGCGGTCGCCGGCAGACAAACTTGGATCGATTGTCTGGAAGGCAATCATTATAATCGCGGTCATCCGTGAATTCTGGTGTAATTAACACTCACGCTGATCAGCATAGTGGACCACAAACTCAGAGGCGAACTGCCGTGACTAAGGATTTGTTATACTCTAAGGTAGTTAGATAAGTACAACATTGGAAGCTATACTAGCGTTTCCGGTAAAATAGTTTCTTTACATATCTGTGGTTTCGGCTATGGTAGTTTAACTTTGCCAATATAATAATTTTACACCGTAAAGGTGAGACACTACGCAATTGACATTTGAAATATGACTTACTGGAGGATAACAAAAGTTTGTTGATTTAGAGCGCACAAACCGAAAGCTCAAATTTTTAAAAATATTTTCTACTTGTAATTCTTCGTAAGCTAATTCGATTATATATAATCGAATTAGTATAGTACGCAAGCTTACAACAATTCTAAACTTATTCTAACCTATGCGTTGATAATGCCTTTTTATGGTAAATGAAAATTTTTTCTACCCACTATGTTCTTAAATAACGCTGGTCGTGCTTAAAAAGAAAGCTGGGTTCTGAATTAGGTCTTTTCGTTCTGAAGTAATGCTAGTCAGTGCTTAATATGTCCTGTAATGGCTGGAACAACGCTGATAAGGAAACCCAGTATGTTCTGATCTACTCCTGAAAATGCCTAGAAAAAGAACACGGTGCTGAATTCGTTCTAGTCATGCTGAAAACCAGCACTGAGTTCTAGTCTGTGCCATTAAACAAACTATTTCAGAACAGATTCAGAATTTACTCACTATAGGATGCAAGAATTATTTCAGAATTACTGAGATTTAATTCAGCATTATTGTAAGCTTGGGTATAGTATACCCCAAGCTTACAACAATTCTAAACTTATTCTAACCTATGCGTCGATAATGCCTTTTTATGGTAAATGAAAATTTTTTCTACCCACTATGTTCTTAAATAACGCTGGTCGTGCTTAAAAAGAGAGCTGGGTGCTGAATTAATGCGACAAAATCTTAAAAAAAGATCAGCATCTGAAATAATGCCTTCAATGCCGAAAATAAGCTCTGCATGCCTAAATATGTGCTGAATATGTGGTGAGAAGGCTAGAATTAAGCTGAAAAAATTGCCACTATGTGCTGAATTAGGTCTTTTCGTTCTGAAGTAATGCTAGTCAGTGCTTATTATGTCCTGTAATGGCTGGAACAACGCTGATAAGGAAACCCAGTATGTTCTGATCTACTCCTGAAAATGCCTAGAAAAAGAACACGGTGCTGAATTCGTTCTAGTCATGCTGAAAACCAGCACTGAGTTCTAGTCTGTGCCATTAAACAAACTATTTCAGAACAGATTCAGAATTTACTCACTATAGGATGCAAGAATTATTTCAGAATTACTGAGATTTAATTCAGCATTATTGTAAGCTTGGGACTATACTGAAACAAACTTGCATTGTCATTAAAGTTGCATGTTCACATATTTAGCACGTATTAGGTGAGCTGAAAATGGCACTTACAATATTAGACAGGAAGAATCAGTTAGAACTTAAGGATTTCACCAAACAATTACTGTTTATAAATCAAAGAATTTCTTGGTTCAATGGTACGTGCAGAACCTTGGACATACCTTGCTTCAGTTCATCACTCTGCAATTATATATAATCAAGTAAATTAAAATTACCTCAAGGTCCAGAACTTCGAAAGATCTTTGCCTGTCCATTTCACGTGAAACTGACCTTGAGGATTTTCCAGTTTACGCGGTAAAGGGGATATTCTCAATATCCAATTTCGTTTATGCATGCTTGTGTACACCAGATTGATATCTTTGTGCTCGCTTCTTGGTTGTGGAGTAAACGCCAAGTTAAACTTCAAGCACCAGTAAGTACCAGTGGAGTGAGGCCGCACCAATGACATTGGAATACTCAGTTAGCAAGTTATTGAAACCTGGTATATAATATTGTAATAATGGATAAAATATGCTTCACAGAGTATTATCTTTTTAAATGGGATATTTGACAAGTTTCAAGTTATGTTTGAGTAAGATTAAGTTGAGGTTTAGGCCAAAGACAGGTGAGGGTTATTGTTCAGGTTAGAAGACCTAGATAATTACATGCATAGAATGTGTTTAAATTACTCTTTTGATCCTCCAATCCAAAACCGAGAGGTATTTTGTCATATGCCAGAGAAGAGTATCCTTCTAACGTTGATGAGAGACCCATAGACCCTTTTGTCACCTATTTTTTGACTCTATCCAAAAGACTGGCATCCCATCTGAGCAACAGGGAAGCAGTGGTAATGTTCACTTCAAGGCGTGGCCTCACGTATGTTTTGTTCAACCCCAAAGATTACTGAGGAGTGAGTGCAGCCGACTGCCCGTGCTAAAAGTGTATAAACGCATATGTCCCTGCCAAATCACCCGGCTAATTCACGCTTGTGTCCATTTTTTTCGTTAGAACTAAACTTAAGTAGTCTTCTGACGTTACACAAGGAGTAACTTACATTCCGCATCCTACAGGTAAGCATTTTCACTACTGTCTATTTTTTAGTTTGAAGGTCACACCATTAACCAGTTCCCAGTCTTACAGGATTTTTAGTCCTGCCAACAGCCCGTCAATGTCATTCGAGCTCTTTATTGCCCTCCAAATCTTTAGTCTCCAAAGTAAAATGAAGAGTCAGTCAGTTTGGATGGCATGTCAGGCCACCGGTAGAAATCAAAAGCATCAGTGGGCCTAGTGTAACGACAGAAGGCAAGAGTCAGGCAACAGATCATTTATTAAGGAAATCAACGCATATTTATATATGTTTTCATGTACATTACTATGGATATGTAAACAAACAAACACAGTCTTCCGATTGGTTGTTTCTCACGACAAATCTTGGGAACGTAAATATTGACGTAAATTACTGTCTACCAATCTGGCTAGTAGACAGCTCTCACCACAATAGGACAGAACCTTGGGATACTCCTAATGACAAACCCGGCTTGGATGATAGGATAGGATTGACCTAAGTAAAGAATTCCCTTTCGTCTAGGCATCACTCCAATCATGAGGGAAGCGGGACACCAACATCCACTTGACTTATTTTGTGTAGAAGATCATGGCGAACTGTGTCGAACGCCTTCTGGAAGCTGATAAAGATCACACGGACTGAAATATTCATATATCAGCATGATATCTAATCATCGCAAGCAGATAATGGATTTGTCACTTAGGATCTACCTCCCCTGAAACAATGTTGTGCTTCATGAAGTACATTCGTTCTGTCGAGGCGTTTCCTGATGTGATCATCAACCAGACTTTCGGATTCTAGTGGAACTGGTCTGTTGTTGTTCCTTAACTTGGGTTCAATTAAGATAATTAGGTGATAATGGTTACCACCCTGAGTGTTGCAACTGTGTAATGTCACCGTGCACGAGGACGTTTCGTGACCTTAGTCCTCCTCCTTTCCAAGTTCCAAAACCGGCTGTTTTGCATCGAATATACATCCACCAACTTTACTCATGGTCTTATACCACTGTTGAAGCACTGCAGCTAGTTGCTCCTGGGAGCTGAATTTTAAGTCTGTTGGCCGTAATGAGCTGATTAATGTGAGGTGAGCGGGGTTGAAGCAGGATTAGCAACACCGAGAGCCATCTGTGATGACAGCTATCTCCACTGGTGTACATCACGCATGTTTTTCACAGGCCATACCATTTTCCAGCCCTGGAACATTGTTTATGACAATGGAGATGGAGGCATGAGTTCCAGTGACTGCCTACCCATTTTCCTGCCTCCCGATGGCCTACTAGATCTTGTCCCTATGTTAGAGTTCCTGTCCAAAGCTACTACTTTTAGCAGTATAATACATTTTCATCGCTTTCAGGAGAGCTCGGTGTCACAGCCACTGCACATATAACCCTCTGAAAAAGGGGACGTTCAGTCCTAGACCAAAATCCAAAACAAATTTAAACAGTTCCAAATAAACTCAACCAACTGCAAAAGAAAACCAGACTGTTTCAGACGGAATTATATGGCTAAGAGACTGTTGAAGAACCGAAAGATTATGTTATATTTGACAAAATTTATCGGATAAATATGGTACAAACCTTCAAATATGAGTTTACCCGGCATCCAAATACGCAAAACAAAATGAGTGAACGTGAAATGACTTGCAGTCCGACAAACTACAGACGGTTTAATTAACACAAAATGCAAAATGGCATGTAAAGCACATCTTTAGTGTTTTGAGGTTCCCTCCTCGTATAGAATTACTACTGATGATTTAGATTCTTTATTGTTGGTGTCGTTATTAATAATAATTTATGATAATAATTAATAATAATATTAATGATGACACCAACAATAAAGAATCTAAATCATCAGTAGTAATTCTATACAAGGAAGGAACCTCGGAAGCCTTACGTAGAATTCTTAACAAGGCAGGAATAAAAACGGCATTCAAACCCACAAACTCAATTAGAAACAAGCTTTGTCGGTTAAAGGATCCTGTAGAATCTTTAAAACAAAACAATGTAGTTTATCTAATACCCTGCAGTGATTGTGAGGCCAAATGCATAGGTCAAACTAGTAGAACAGGGGCAGTCAGACTAGCTGAACATAAAAACCCAGCAAAATCTACATTGGTTGATCCAAATAAGATAAGAAATCTAGAGAATAGTTCAGCCATAGCACTACATGCAGTTACACACAACGATAAAATAGGATGGGATAGGATGACAGTTTTAAAATCTAATGTCACAGGTTATAGGGAGAGATTGATAACAGAAGCTTTGTTTATCGAATCAACTGCAAATACATGTAATAGGAATGATTCATCACCTGTCCCCGATATCTGGAAAATTCTACTGCCCATACGACAAATAGGAGAGAACAAAGAGAACTATAAAACTCAAGTGTCAAAGTCGTGTGATCACAATTGATATGATTATGAACAATAAATTTTGTTCGAAACGTCATCCAGTAAATAATACTGTTTCACTGTGTGATAAACCTAATAAACAAACTAATATGAAATTACTTACTGCCACAGTGCCCAAGTTTTACACATATATTAACACACTGACTTCCAAAGTAGATGAATGTGACACTACATCCACCTGGTTCCAGCTGTGCAGTTTCAATACAGAGCTGTGTGATTTGGACATATTTTCAGACCTGGGGATATGACCTTGGGTCTGAGCAGCCACGATGTGAGATGGTGTCAAACTCTGGCGAATTCTTTCCTCCTGTAGATGAATCCTAAGTCAGTAGAAATGTGGTATCATAATGTTCCTCTTCAGGCTCTATTCGACTATCACGTTGCCAATTATTATTAATTATGGTTAAATGAGAATGAGAGAAATAGCAACAATAGAACAGGAGCAAAAAGACTTATGAAGGTCAAGGAAAGATTTTTGACTTTACCTAGAACTTTCAGGTCATTCAGCTCCATAGGAATCACTCAGCAAACTGATCGAGTGAGGAAGATGCTTCAGAAGTAGCACCTGAAGCTTTGATTGTAGTTCGAGACATCGAAACTAATTTCTCAGAGATTACGTGGGAAAGTAGTGTTTGAATTAGGTTTACCGGCTGGTTTTCCAAGCGAAAAATTCCTAATATAGGTATTTTCTGGTTAGAGAAGAAAAAGCACGCTGTATTCAAAGATCCTGCGAGAAGCCGAGGGAAGTGTATGGAAAAAGCCCCCGTCTCCGAATAAGTTTCCTACTTATGCTCTCATCGTACTGCTTGTTCCCCAAATGCTTAGCAGTGGAAAAAGATACAGAGCTAAGTACCGGGTTATTATGTGTGACTACGGCGTAGATAGATAACCTGCCGGTGTTAATTTAAACTGTACAAGTGCTGGCTATCGAGTGGCGTTAATGCATATCCTCGCACATCATAGTGTTGAAGTCCGTTTCTATGTTGATTCAGTGATAAGTTATGTTTTTTATGTGCTTTTTGAATGAAATTTTATCGTAAAAACTTTTCTGACCTACACGATACTGACGGAATAATGCACTTTAACCGCGTTACATTTGGGCAGAGGATAGAGGCATAAGTCAGCTGATTGCTGCAGATATCAAGTGTTATCGTGTTGTTGAGTTTGAGTTATCCTACGTTGATTTAAGTGTTTTTTAACAGAAATGCATTTCAAATATGGTATTTTAACGCAAAAACGCGCAAAAATGAGTAAATAGTCGTCCTCAACGTGTTGACAAAATACCGTTTATTCATTTAATTGGCGTGTTGAGGTGCATACGATATGTCAGAATTCGTTGTAAAAGGTAAATTATGATAGAAAATGCTAAATAATTCCCACTACTGGATTATGTTTTACGCAGATGATATGGATATCGATGTAGTTATAATTTCGTATTCTTAACAAAGTTTAACAGTGAGGAAGAAAACTGAGTTGGTTATTTGGTCAGACACAGGTGAAGAGATAGCCATTTAATTGATAGGTATTGTGTTTTAAGTTATTTATTTAACTCATCATTTCCTAACTAAAGTTTTATCATTTTTAATTTTTCAGACAATAGTCTTCACTTACTTGATCACTCAGGTGATTTAGAGACTCTAGTGGGATTAAATAGGATAATATGGGTGTGAACGATGAAATATTTGTGATATGATGAATGTATTTGTTGAAATAAACATTTTTTAATTCAGACTCCACTTACACATTATAAATATTTACTTTTTGAGTTGAAAGGTGATGTCACTGAGGTAGTATTCGTGA